TTAGACACAGTAATAAATATATAATTAATTGCCAAGTTACTTTTGAAATATTCGTTGTCAGCACACAAACCAAAATATTGTAATATTTTTAAGGTGATTATTAAAATAATAGTTTTCTATGTACGTGAGTTTAGCGAAAGAAGCAAGGAATAGGAATATTAGTTGTCTGCACGCAAACATTATTAATGTAATATTTCCAAGATGATTATTTAAATAATAGATTTCTATCAACATGAGTTTAGCGAAAGAAGCAAGAAAATTGTACTTAACATTGCCGTGGTGAGGCCTAGTCCCGGCCTCACCTAGATTGCCCAGCCGGCGGAGTTGGCACCTTGGCACGCTGGGGCTGGGCTGCTACTCCCCCCCCCCCCCCAGCCACAATGCCCCCGCGCGTTCTGCAGTAATATTTTCGGCCTATAGTGGTAGCATCTACCGACTATAGTAGTAACTGCATGCATCGGGGTGGGGGGGACATCACACTGTGAATAATTTAGCTCGGCGTTTTGTGTATTTTTATAGCATTTTTAACATGAAAGAAAATGTCCCCCTGACCCCCACCGAACACGTGTGACTTTGTAGGGGCCGTCCCCTCCACCGAAGTTGTGTGAGTTAGTATGGTCGAGCGCACGTAATAAATAAATAAAAACCTCACTAAATCGCTAATTTTACTAATTTGAAGTTGACGGATGGAAAAAAGGAATAGCGCTTGCTCACCATGGGGTTTACGGCGTGGTACCTGGCTATTTTTTTAAAACGTAAACCACCCCGTTTGAGAGCCAAATCCTTCGCAAGCGTGCGAACACACACACAGACAGACAGACAGACAAAAATGTACATTTATATATAAGACTAGCAGGAAGTACCTGGCGTTGTCCGGGCGAAAAATATATTTAAAAATGTATCTTAAAAACCTGACAAACACACATATACTCAGATATTGCGAAAGCCCGGTGGGCCATTTGTCCATTTCTCCACCATAAAAAAAATTATAAGAGGCTTGCAGAAGTCCAAAAAGTTATAGAAAGTGGGGGATAAATAGTTGATATGAAAGGTTTCCGAAAATTGTCGACCCCCCCCCCCCCCCCCGCTTAAAAAATATTTTTACCCCCCGCATAGGTATAAATACGTACACACCCTACATACAACAGAGTAAGTAGTGTTTATTGACTCTGTAGTTGTATATACTGACTGTACAGTCATATCTACTGAGCCAGTAGTAGCTACTGACTCTATAGCAATTTTTACTGACTGTAGCAACTACTGACCGTAGTAGTAATTGCTGGCCCTACAGTAGTATCTTCCGACTCTATAGAAGTGACTACTAACTCTATAGTAGTGTAATGCGAGCAAGGATTGAGGAGGGGTGGAGTCTGGGTCACGTGGGGAGTGGGTGGAGTTAGGGTCACGTGGGGGGAGAGGATTTAAGGAGAGAACGGGAAGGGGAAAGGGAAGTTGAGACAGAGTGAAATACGAGGAGGCCACGCTGGGCAAGAGGGAGAGTGTGGCGCGGTTGCCACGTGGTGGGAGACGTCGACACCGACGGCCATCGGTATCAGACGCTAGAGAGCGGGGCAGCGGTGTGGCTGCAAGGATCGCCTGACGGGGCAGCAGTGAGACTGCATATTGGAACAGCAGGGAGCCTGCACAACGGGGCAGCCGAGGGCTGTGGAGAGGTCGTCGAGCGGGACGCGGGCCTGAGCGAGACGCCGTGGTACGGAGATTCTATGAACCCAATAAAGGACAACGGAGATCGACATCTGAGAGAGAGTCCTTTATTACAGTAGTATCTGCTGACTCAAAAGCAATATCCACTGACTATAGTAGTAACTACGAACTCTATAGCAGTATCTACTGACTATAGTAGTATCGACTGACTCTATAGCAGTAGCTGCTGACCGTAGTAGTATCTACTGACTGTATCGTAGTATCTACTGACTGTAGCAGTATTTACTGACCATAGTGGTATATACTGACTGTTTTAGTATCTACTAACTCGAAAGCAGTATTTACTATCACTACAGCAGTACAATACCGACTGTGGTGGAACCTGCTATCACTGCAGCAGTGCATACTGACTGGTGGTACCTGCTTTCACGACATCAGTGCATATTGACTGGTGGTATTGTGCTATTGCTACAGCGGTGCATACTGACTGGTGGTGGTAACTGCTTTCACTACAGCAGTGCATACCGACTGTGGTGGTACCTGTGTAGTAGGTTCAAGGAGACTTGGACGACGTAGTCGGAGGCACACTTATTTATTGAACGTTCCACTATATACAGGCCAAGATATACAACACTCGAAGGGGTATCAGCCCCTTCACCCGTCTAACAGGGAACCCCACAATCTCTATCCCGGCTAGCCTACTCCCAGGTCCTCCACTACAGAGCTAGGGGAGGCTAGCTGACCCAGCTCTGGCCAAGCTGGGATTACGGCACCCTGAGTCCCCAGACCGGCTCTTACAAGAGCATCGGTTCTGGGCTCTCGGGGCCACGCCACTGGCTTGCCCTGGTCGGTCCTTAGAAGGACGGCGATCCAGGGGAGTCCCAGGGCCTATCTAGCCGGTCTTCCTTCTTCGCTGGTTTAAGCTAAACACTCAACCCCGAGCCCACCGGCTCACCGCCTTATATAGCAACTCCCCCATCGAGGGGTGGGGCCGTGGGGGATCACAGCACCGTTTTAGCCCCCCAGGCTAAACGGTGCGGACGTGGATGTAAGCATCCTTCCGCGTGCGGGCATAACCACCCCTGGTGTGTTTGTTCGCCCTCCCGTAACACCTCTACATCTGCTTGAATTACAGCAGTGCATACTGACTGTGATTGTACCTGCTTTAACTACAGCAGTGCATACCGACTGTGGTGGTACCTGCTTTCACTACAGCAGTGCATACTGACTGTGGTGGTATCTTGCTATTGCTACAGCAGTGCATACTGACTGTGATGGTACCTGCTTTAACTACAGCAGTGCATACCGACTGTGGTGGTACCTGCTTTCACTACAGCAGTGCATACCGACTGTGGTGGTATCCTGCTATGACTACACCAGTGCATACTGACTGTAGTGGTACCTGCTATGATAACAGCAGTGCATACTGACTGTGGTGGTACCTGCTATGATTACAGCAATGCATACTTTGGTGACCTGCTTTCACTACAGCAGTACATACTGACTGTGCTAGTACCTGCTGTGATTACAGCTGTGCATTCTGACTGTGGTGGAACCTGCTTTGATAACAGCAGTGCATACTGTGGTGGTACCTGCTTTCACTACAGCAGTGCATACTCACTGTGGTGGTACTTGCTATGATTACAGCAGTGCATACCGACTGTGGTGGTACCTGCTTTCACTACAGCAGTGCATACTCACTGGTGGTACCTGCTAAGACTACAGCAGTGCATACTGCTGTGGTGGTTACTGCTATCACGACCGCAGTGCATACTGACTGTGGTGGTACCTGCTATGATTACAGCATTGCATACTGACTGGTGGTACCTGCTATGATAACAGTAGTGCATACTCTGGTGGTACCTGCTATGATAACAGCAGTTCATACTGACTGCGGTGGAACCTGCTATGATTACAGCAGTGCATACTGACTTTGGTGGTACCTGCATTGATTACAGCAGTGCATACTGACTGTGGTGGTACCTGCTCTGATAACAACATTGTATACTGACTGTGGTGGTACCTGCTATGATAACAGCAGTGCATACTATGGTGTTACCTGCTTTCACTACAGCAGTGGATACTGTGGTGGTACCTGCTATCACTACAGTAGTACATTCTGACTCTATAGCCGTATATATCGACTCTATAGCACAAACTACTAACCTGCCGTGGTGAGGCTTAGTCCTGTGCAGAGCTCCCGGCCTCGCCTAATTGCCCAGCCAGCCGAGGTGGCACCTTGGCAGGCTGGGGGCTGGGCCGTTACCCCCCCCCCCCCACCACCATCCCCCCACCACCATCCCCCCGCCCGCGCTACAATAATACTATCTAAGCGCTATAATATTAGTATTAGTATCTACCGACCCTATAGTAGTAAGTGCACATATTTGGGTGGGAGGGGGGATAAGAGGACATGACACTTTGTTGAATTAACCTCAGCGATGACGCTTGTGCTTTGCTAGGGGCAACCCCCGGGGCAGTTTTAGTGCTGCGCGAGGAAATAATAAAAAAATTTCACTGAATTGGTTATTTAACTACTTTAAAGTTGACGGGTGGGAAAATGTAATAACGCTGGCTCACCACGGGGCTTATGGCGTGGTACCTGGCTTCTTTTTTAAACGTAAACCCCACGGTTTGCAAGCCAAAACCTTTGCAATTTCGTTTACACACACAGACAGCCAGACGGACAGACAAAAAATTACTTTTATAGGTACTATAGACATAATTTCAACCGAGATGATTGGTACAAACTCAGCAATCACTGGAAGGATCATATCAAACAGTTTAAGTCAACTGCTGTAATGTTTCCATTTTTAACACTCTCTATCCACTGTTGGCCTAGACTACTGCTATAGCTTGTTCTATCCACTGCTGGCCTAGTAATAGCATACTTTATCCACTGCTGGCCTAGACGACCTCTAGTACACCATGCCTATTGCATGTGCTATCCACTGCTGGCCTAGGCTCCATCTCTATACCGTTGGCTCTATCATGGCCTAGACTCAATCTCTATAGGATGCTCTATCCACTGCTGACCTCGACTCTTGTGCCCCGCCCACTCCGTTCTGACACTTGGGCTACGCCCACTGTTAAACATTTATAAACAGTTGCAGTTACAGGCTTACCTCCATTTTCTCCCCGCCTGATGATGCCTGCTTGTATTGCGATCGAAACGTCGTAGTTTTTTGTTTTTCTTTTCATTAATTTGAACCTATCTACGTAACTTTACCGAAAGACCCAAAGAATATTAGAATCTGCCTTCATCTGAATTTCCAGCCATTCACGCTGTGTGCATGGGTACGTGCATGCGGGCGGTCGGGCGGTGTGCACCACAGACCGAAGGAAGAGGGGCAGCACTCGCCCCCCTTGCCAACGCAGCCTTCCCAGGATTGTTCGACTCCAGGAGGGGGTGGTGGCGTACGCGTCAAGATGGAGCCAGACTCGACGCCGTCGCTGCGGCGTTCCACGCGGCGTGCGCCCACCGGGGGGGAGCGCACACCGGAGGGGGGCAGTAGCCCCCAGGCCAAGCGCCGTCTCATGGACTCGGCCCACATGCCTCGCCTACTGCAGCAGCTGGACAAGAGTAAATGCTCACATTTGCTTTCTCGGCATGCACTGACCCTTCCACACAGCCTCCTGCTGCTTCCGCCGCTGCTGCTGCTACAGCAGCTCATTGAGAGGAATTAGCGGATGTATGTTGAATTTCTTTCGCACCGTAAGTAGCCAACCATGCTAATCGGAGGTGCGGGGGAACGACAAAATAAACACAAAAAGCAGTTCTGAAGAAATGGGTTTTCAACCTTGATTTAAAAGTGCATAACTCCAGTGCCTTCCTAATATCGGAAGAGCATTCCAGACGATCGCAGAAGCGCATCTGAAAGCGCGCAATGCAGTGACCATCTTTGTTCGATGGTTAGCCAAAAGCCGCTGTGAGGATGACCAGAGTTTGCATGATGGTTTATGCTCCTTGACAAGGTCAGCAAGGTATTGTGCCTAATTTGTTGCAAGCACTTTGCATGTATAGATGACGCTCATGCTGTAAATGTGACGTTATGTGTGCTTTGCATAATGGCACAACTCATTAATAATCCTGTGTTAAGTTTTCGGCCATCACGCACCCACATCTTGCATTGTCTGCTCTTTGTGGTCGGATCGTGGGTTGCCTGACATTGATGTATGCCCTAAAGGAGTTCACTCTTGTGTGCGTATGGGCTATACATGTATTTAGTGGGAATACAACATTTCATCAATCAATTGCAATTCATGTAGCGTGTGATTGGTTCATGAAAGCTTTGCAGCCACTATAGGGTCTACATTGAGCACAACGGAAAAAAAATATTTAATCGCTGGAGAGACAAAATTGGTTTCACAGTTTTCATTTTGGTTTACATGTTGTGGACGTGTTTGGTTTGTTTATTGTTGACATGTTCACTTTGTTCCACTATGTAGCTATTAATCACATGCCTCGTATCGGTCTACCAGCAACCTGGATAATGTTCAGTGAGAGATTTAACCTTAATAATAGTCACTAGTGTAGTGTTCATGTTAATCACTGCACCCTCTGAAGCAATAATATAATTGATTGCTTTATAAGTTACTAGCGGTAAGTACCCGGTGTTGCTCGGGCGAAAAAGGCAGACACACATGAACTTACACACAGACATTGACCCACACACATAGAAACAGACACACATGAACTTACACACAGACATTGACCCACACACATAGAAACACATCGACTTAGACGCACACACACATATATGGTTAAACCCTGGATGGATCGTTAGTAGGCCAGCCTAAATGTTTCTAACCGGCAAAGATGTTCCATTAGGGGGGTGCACGTTTCGCAAGCGTAGAGAACGGAGGGAATTACTGTGGCTGAGAAGACCTGGAGCTTCATTGCGGAGTGAGAGACCAGGTAGCTTCCACACAGCGTAACGCAGCCGATGAAAATATAATGGCGCTCGACTGATTTGGAGTGAGACCTCTGCTGTTAAACCGGAGCCGGTCATGAGCACACTGGCCAGGTATGGGAATCTTGGCAATCTCTCCACAACTGCCGCATCACCAATTGTGAGTTGTGGGGGTGGATTGTTCGATCGTACAAAATACCCAGGCAGGTGCTTCGTTTTTGTGGGGCTGATGGTAAGGCCCCATCTCTTTGTGGCAAGCTCCAGGTTCAGCAGCAGTGAGTAGCAATCACCAGAGCATCGGCATACATAACATGGTTGAGCAATAGGGAGGCATCCCTTGACTGCACCCGGGCATCGATCAGCCTCCCATTGTATCTGTACCATACTCTTAGGTTTTTTCGGTAAAGTCACGTAGGGGAAAATAAATAAATAAACAAAAATACAAAATAATAGAAATAAAATAATTTTTATTTCTATTATTATTTCTAGTATTTTTATTATTATTCATTTATTATTATTAATTTTTTATTATTGATTTTTTTTTTACCTACGTGACTTTACTGAAAAAACCTAAGAGTATGAATCCTTGCAGTCACGAAAGCTTCAAATCTAGAATGTATCTGTACCATATGGTAATTCCTCGGGTACAGCCATTGAAGGCTTCACGAACTACGTGGTCAAAAGATATTTTAAATAATGTGGAGCCAGAGGACATCCCTGTCACACCCCGAGGTGTTGAGGGAATGGCTCTGACTGATGGCCACGTAGTTTGACGTGGGGCCGCTCACCATCATGAAGGTCCTTAAGGATTGTGAGCAAAGTTTTAGGGACTCCGAAAGCATGAAGAACAACCCAGAGGCCAGGCCTACTGATGGTATCATAGGCCTTGAGAAGGTTCACTCACACGCACACATGGACCTACATACATGCTAAGAAATGGACTTACACTGACATGGAGCCATGCACACAAAGCGACTAACACAGACGCCCATGGACTGACACACACAGACATATCGACTCACACACACAAACACATGGACTTACACACACATATGGACTCACACACACATAGACATGCACTTTAGATACACACACATGGAGTTACACACACATATATCGACGTACACACATACAGCGACTCACACACACATGGACTTACACACACATACATAGACTGACACATACATTGCCCTACACACACAGACATGGACTGTGACACACAGACATCTACTTTAGATACACACACACATGGATTAACACACACACATCGACTGACACACATAGACACACAAACGCACATTGACTTACACACTCAGATGGAGCCATGCACACACATCAGCTCACACACACGCATTGACTTAGACACACACACATCGAGTGAAACACACGTATGGACTTACACATGTGGACTAACGCACACAGCGACTGATACGCACACAAATGGACTGACACACACAAACACTTGTACGTACACACAGACACACATGGGGCATTGTCCGTTTGAAAAAGACAGACACACACATGGTCTTACACACAGACATGGACCCACACACATAGAAACCCATCGACTTACACGCACACAAACACATGGACTCACACACAGACATCGACTTTAGGGACACACACATAGTTTCTGCACACGAACATTATAATTGTAATATTAGGCAACGTATTAGTTTAATAATAATAAACAATGATACAGAGTTGTTATGTGCACACAAACATCATTGTAATATTTGTAAAGGTATTTGTTTAATAATAGTAAACAATAAACCTGAGTTCTTAGCGAAAGATGCAATAAAATAGTACTTTACACTGGCGTGGTGCCGCCTCGTCCCGTGCAGAGCACGTGGCCTCGCCTAGATTGGCACGCAGGAGGAGGTGAGACATTGCCAGGCTGCGGGCTGGGCCGCTACCCCCGCCCCCCCCACCATCCCCTCGGCCGAGGCAGAATAATACTATGTAAGCGCTTTAATAATATTAAATTAATATCTAAGGACTTTATAGCAGTGACTGCACGCATTGGGGTGGGGGGGGAAGAGGACATCACACTGTGAAGAGAAATCGGCAGCGTGATGTGTATATTGTTTTCCATGTTAAACGCGTAAAAGAAAATGTCCCCCGTGAGCTGGAGGGAACGCACATCACTTGGCAGGGTCCGCCCCCCCAGGCAATTGTCGTGAGTTGGTACGGTCGATGTCGCGCAATAAGTAAATAATTAAAATAAGAATGCCATTATTTCGTTAATTAAACGACTTTAACATGTACGGACGTGAAAACGTAATAGCCTATTCCCAGCACGGGGCTTAGGGCGCGCCGACTGGCAAATTATTTCGGTCTTAAACCCCACCGTTCGAGAGCCAAATCCCCTGCAAGCGCGAGCGCGCGGAGACTTTTATATATACGAGATGATGATTTCAATTGTCAATAGTAGCTTTAGTGTAAAGGTGTTGTGTTTTTGTGCTGTTTTTAGATTATAGTGATGGTGTTTCAGTGTTTTACGATGTATTGGCTTTCATGCCGTTGTACTTAGTGTATTGCCTGTAAGTAGAATTATTGTTGGATATGTGGATGTGGATTAACTGAATCCTTTCATAATGTGGAATTTCACTCCTGGCACAGGACCATCAACAAATAAGTGTTTCCCCATGCTCTTGTGAGTATGGAGGCACATTGACTTCTTTGGTTGCTGTAGTTATTGTGTGTGTTGTCTTTGTGGAAAGTAGTGTGGCATGCTGCCAGGGTTCAGTGTCACTAATCGTGGTGCTTGTATGTGTGTATGTTGAACTGCTTTCGCACCATGCATAGCCAGCCGCACTAATCGAAAGTGCGGAGGAAGGACAACAAACTTAACATGAAAAGCAGTTTTAAAGAAATGAGTTTTCAATCAAGATTTAAAAGTGCATAGCTACAGTGGCTTCCTAATATTAGAAGGAAGAGCGTTCCAGACGGCTGCAGTACATCCATAAGCGCACAATGCAGTGACCTTTGTTCGATGGCGAGCCAAAAGTCGCTGCGAGGATGACCGGAGTTCGCGTGATGGTTTTATGTTCCTTAACGAGATCAGCAAGGTATTGTGGTTAATTTGTGCCTTAGAGCTGACACCAGGTGCAGCAGGAGGCGTCCCCTTACCTGGGGTGATCCACAAAGAGGGCCTGGTGCTTGAGGGCCGCAAGGGAGCAGAACTCAATGAGGTAGTACCAAACAGCACTGCACAGCCACACCGATGCACACTTCCACCAGATTGGACCTTGTTTTCTGTTCATGCTCATAATTCAATGGGTACATTTCCCTGTGCCAGAGCATTTAGCAAAGAATATCGTTAGTAGAAGTCCATGGAGACCGAGAGATTTGTTTTTTGTTGCCATGTTTCTACCACCATTGGGTACAAGTCCAGGTGGTCAGGCCTGGAGCACATCCACAGCAGCCCTACTGTGCCTGCTTTCTCATTGTAATTATTGAACTGCATCCTTATTACCTGGCCCAACCACAGAACGTGTTATAATATCACACGCTGTCACTGGAATTGATCTCTTGGTTTGGCGTCAGCAATGCTTTTTTGCGAGGGAAAAAAGAAACTGCAGAAAGTTACAGATAATGTCAGCTGAGGACAACATAACCTTCGGCAAGCACGCGTAAGTTATAACAATTGTTTTAATATTGCTTCCTTACGGCCATCGTGGGTGGGGAGGAGCCGGGTGGGACTGAGCAGAAACAGCTGAGTCCATGGAGCCCCATGGCTCATAGGATGTGGGAACGCCGATTGCAGCTGTGACGCTGATCCTAGGCTGCCAAGCCCGCTTGCCACAATGGTCTTTGGAAATGTAGTATCGTTGGCCTGGGTAGCCAGACCTTAGATACTTAGTGAGATACCCTTTTCAATGTAATTACGACGACACATTTCATAATTTGGGATTTGTGTCCATTACACAATCGCACCGTGGCTTATTCTCATCAGTGTTGTCACAGGGTCATCAATGTGCGCTTTGCAACAGACTTTGGTAATTGTCTGCAGAAAATACCCAGCAGCTGTGGGAATGAAACCGGCGACTCCACGCAAGCTGGCTCAGTTGCGAGCACGCTGACCACTAGGCTTTCCAGCCGACTAAGTGTACGTTTTTCACAACACTCGGAAGCACTGTGATGCGCAGTATCACGTCTCTAATTCCCTGTCCTCATTAACTGCTGTGGGGTCTCGCAGGTGCTCAACTGGAGGCTTTTGCCAGAAGATCACCCGCGCTATGACCATCCGCCACCCCCATCATGCATTTATGGCTCCCAGCATCTGCTACGCATGTTTGGTGCGTTACCATACGATACAGATGCCTTGCACAGCACTCCCAGCAACTCCGACCCAGCTTAACTATTCGCTAGGAGTACGTCATCTTCCGAGAATAGATTATGCCTTTGCTGATTTGCAGCCTGGCCTCTTTCCAAACAGTTTAAATGGTACACCATAGGTGAATTGCAGGTTTGCGTGTTGTGGCCTAAAGTGTGGGTATGCCCTCCTCCTTCAAGATGTCTGGTCAGTGTGGAGAAGGGTAGGCCAGGTACCCTCTAGACAGACTATGTAGAACTCCATTTTGTGTTAGCCCAAAGTCCCCATTGAAAATTAGCATTTATTGCCCAATGGGTCTTACCTGTGCCAAACTTAAGCTAAATAACCTAAACCTTAACATATTTAATCACTAAGGCCAACCCAGTATTCTATATTAGCAACTACAGCTCGTATAGAGTGCCCATTGTTGATGTTAACAACACTCAACTGTTACGTACAAAAAATACAATACGATTGACCAAATTCCCAATTAGTGAAATTACTAAACTTAGCTAAGCATAGTAAAAAGAAATGTTCATGCCCTATTCAAACGGGTATAAGTTGTGTTCATTCCTATTTACATCCCTGAGCCATTGGTTTTAAGTCTACATTGTATGTATATTGAACTGCTTTCGCGCACCATACGTGGCCCACCATGCTAATCGAAGGTGCATTGTTATGGCAGGGGCAAGTCACTGCACAATTACTCTTGACTTTCCACAAAGTGTACTCACTTTATTAACTACAGAAAAATCAAGCTACTCAGCAGCTTTCAATTATGAGCCGCGTGCTCAATGCACAGTACCACCTGGCTGGTTTAAGTGTAGAGCAGTGCACTTGCCATGTGTTGGAGATGGCACTCGTTCACACACACGCGTGTGTGTGTGTGCGCGTGCATGTATGATCGCAGTGAAGCTTCCGGAGCTGTTGGTGAAGATGAATCTACCAGAGAAGAATCTCAAGGCCCTTTTAAAACATCTTGAGCTCTTCCTCAGGCAAGGCAGATGTAACAGTTGTGCAGATTGCTTATACCGCCTCTTTAAGACTGTGAACGGGACAAAACATTTACATCAATAAATTATTTGTGCATTATTTGAATGCTACAACTTTCTACAAAGCATACAGCTATTGCTAAACTTAACCCAACCACTATGATTGTTATCCATTTCTTTACTGTGTTTCAATGATTTTTTATAAAGTGTAACATTAATCTAACATTCAAGGGGCTAGGAAAATAAGACATGTCTGGGAAGATTTTGGATTAGAGAAAGCCATTTTGTGCCATAAAAATAATGGATGCAATGCTTTTTGCTTCTACTCTGCTTTTTGCTCTTTTTTACTTTCTGCTTCTCTAAGGCTGCTTATCTCTTTAAAGATTACATCTCACTCAATTCTTTTTTTGCTGGATCTGCTTATTTCTCAATACATCTCCTTGTCATCCATGCCATGTCTCTTTGGACCTCACTCCATAAGTCTTCTTGCTGCGTCTTTTTCTGTTTGTCTCGCCCCATATATCTCCATGTTGGGTTTCGGTTTCTCTTATTCCATGCATATTTTGTTCCACGTGATTCGAAGGGCACGAATGACGCTTCGTTAGTGTCAGACCACATGGAGAGAAGTTGAGAAAGGCAAATGCAGTGAATGTGGATGAGAGGGGCAGACGGCACTAGAAATGCTTCAAGAGACTTAGGGACAGCACAGAGATACACGGAATAATAGAGGCAGGGATACAGCACGTAGATGTATAAGCACTGATTGGCTAAAACATCTTAATAGAGAACTGCGGAACAATAGTTGTTGCCAGCTCATCGCCTGGTAGCCTTCCAGCTTGTCTGTGGTTCCTCAGCAATTGTGAGATGCATTTCCCATGATCAACAATGCTGTTTAAACATTTTAATTATTATATATTTTTAGATCCATTGAGTGAAAGAAGAAGTGCGTCACTATGCCGTGTAACTCATCACATTATTGTTTGACAAATTTACCAAATAAAAAAAATTTGTAAAATGGTCGTGACAGACTTGAGTTACATGCAGGGAAATGTGAGATGGGGGGGGGGGGGGCTTGTAGCAGAAATATTTTACATTCATGGCATTTGTGGAGATTTTTTTTTAGGACCTAATAATTAGACAATAGGTGCAGGGGAAACATAACAGGAGCATTATCTATAACATAGTGTAGGACTTGTGCATAAATCTATCAATTTATTTTTCTTGCCTAAATGTTTAACTTGGCTTGCTACATATTTGGGGAAAATAGGAAAGTAAACAATATCCCCATTGCTCTAAACTCCTGTTCACTTGAATGTATGAAAAGTTGCCATCTGTATTTTAAAGCACTATGGATTTCTTCCAGCAGGTTTTTGGCAGATTACCAAGAGGACTTTTTTCCAGAATCGGCTTATGTTGCAGCCTCAGAGGCTTACTACAGCAGCAAGCATGCCGCCACTATCTTCTGACGCTCCATCCGAGGCAAACACGAGCCCGCTTGCCTTGTGTTGCCTTCTACCGTCAGCAGCCTCTTTTGACAACTCCCAGTGCCACCTTAACGCCTGAAATGCCCTCCGCCATTTCTTATCGGTGTGCTCCTCAAGCACCTCTTGACATGACTCAGCATCGCCGCCAACATCCGGTGGATACAGTTGTGAACTCACCACTTTGACCTCCCCCACTGGATGCCCCTCAAAGCTACTGATGGCACCTTTCAACTCCCGTCTGTTGCTTCTCCCAATACCTGTGGAAGTATTGCAGCAGGAGTGGCCTTGTTAAGGGGGACATCGGAGGTGCAGGAAGCTTGAATGGGTGACAATTATACCTCTTTGTACATACTCGACAAATGAGCCAGAGCTGCGGTGGCAAAAGGCACCGGCCAACAGCGTTATCAAAACATGCGCTCCGTACACCCACCTTTACACAGGTTTGTAATGTCATCTCGTTTCTGATGATGTGCAGTTGGAATGCTGCCCTTGGTACATTTTGCATGTTCTGACCACTGAGCAGGAAGTGACATTCCACAATTGCCTTCCTCGCCCTTGGAAGAGGGGTTCTACAGAATCAGCAAAGTGTTTGTGCTCTTTTTCATAACAATGGACTTCAAACCTTCACTTCACGCTTGTGTGTCTTTACCACATTGCAAGTGTACCGACAGATTGACATGGTTACAGAATCCATTTAAATCTAGAGTTAATGGTGCAATGTCATTGTTGCTTGAAAAGGGTGTTTATTTTATAATAGCACGTGTGATTCTGTGGATGAATAATGAAAAAAAAATGCACAAGGCTATGAAAAACAGAATTGTCGATCTGGATGACCTCAACGTTATTACGCTATTGGCTCCATATCTCACAATCCACCTGTAAATGAGTGAACATAATCGCAATATTAGTGTTAAGCTGACATGGTTATCGATTAACAATCGCAACTCGAGCATGTGAATTGACCAATGCTGTGAAAAATGGTCTGAAATGTAGCCCATCTGTAACCTTGGCACCTTGCATCCCTTTTGTCTGCAATTCCAGCAACATTTATTTTGGGGTTTCCCCCCCCCCCCCCAAACACTCATCTGTGGTTAAATGTGTTGGAAAAAATGCATCAATGTAACATTCTTCTTTACTGCTGTGTTTCATTGAGCCTGGCGACTTCGATTTTCTTAACCTTTGTTTGAAAGGCAAGTTCGAGTACATTACCGGCAAAAATACTTTTGAACAATACAGCCCCCTTGGAATACTTAACATGCAGCAACACCTGGCAATGATGATCGGGAACGGTGAACGCCATAACAAATAGTATGCTGAGGTTTTGAAATGGCATCAGGACCAAGATATTGTTTTATATATTTAAATATTTGTTGTGCTTTGATTAGGTGCCATACTTTTACGAGCAAAAACTACAATGTATTCGCCACCACTTTGTCCTTTCAAGTTAATGTGTTCGCTTTTTTAAACGTTAGTTTGTAAACCAATATGCGAAAGAGCCCTGTATGTTCTTGCCATCACGGCTGGACAATCGAATCATCAATATAACATTTAAAATAAATGTGTTTTTGTGGCCACTGATGCAGATATATTTAAGTGTTAAAGATACATTTTGTGCTTAAGTATTTGCCCTTAAATCCTAGTTTAACCAAATTTGGCATAAAGTTTATTTCCTGAAATTACCAACTGCAGGTCTATAAAGTTCCTGAATATTTGTCCCTTCATCAGGGACACTAGCTCACAGGGAGCGAAAATATAATCTTGTGCACCAACAGGTTATCCCATGAGTCACAGCACCACACTAGATGAAAATGTAAATAACTGAGCACAAAAGCAAGAGCATAATCTACCTGGTACTGTAATTATCACCTGCACAAGTTTCAGCAGAGCTCTAGGTCAATGTTATTGACATATGCAAGCTTTTTGTTATGTGTGCTTATGCACCACTGCCAATGCAATATCAGAAAAAAACATTGCTCTACGGTGTGGGTTGATGCGATGTTATTCGGTTATGGCGTCCTTATGTCATATCAGACGGATGTTTATTCATCGCTACCAATTAAGATCTGCTGCCATATTGCAGACTGCCTGTTTTTCCCCCAAATTGCTTCGCAATAGCAAGTGGAGACTCAGCCACACTTCCTCTAGTTTGTCATTACTGCATCCCAGAAGTTATCGTCCACTCACGCAACACAACCACTGTGATGCATGAATCATCAAAATATGCCCCACACTCCCAACACTTGTATGTGGTGAGATAAAAAAAGAGTTATTCGAATCAGGAAACATTTTAATGTAACGTCCATAATTAAATTTGAACACTTAAATAAAATGTAGACATGTTTATTTGTACAGGATATCTTTGATTTGCATTAGGATGGAAATGCAACGAGCCATCAGTGTTTACTGAATGATGTGCACACAAGTCAAGGCAAACCACTGCGGACATCTGTAAAGGCTTAGTCTGCAATTCAGTGGCTAAGGTTAGACAGCTGTTTTGGTGATTCTTGCAACTGTGATGTAAACAATGTGAGTGAAGGTAAATAAAAAAAAATGTAAAGTCCCATCTGTTGATTCAGGGTCTTTTTTATTTGTAAACTTAAGGTACTGTAATTTAAAAAAATGATTTTTGCGCTTGTTAAAATGAACAAACCACCCTTGTACAAGAGATATGCATAATCCTATCATTCAAAATAATATACATTACTTTATTATTTGAGCTCCATTGTAGGGTGTGGACAAATCTGCAAGCAATAAAGGTAGTCATCCCTGCAGCCGACGAGCAGGCAGTCCCCCCATGCAACGGGCGAGGAGAACACTTCCCCCGGCAGTCTGTAGGAGCATACAGGATTACCCTGCTCATCAAGCACACACACCAGCCCATCTGTGCCTGCCGCTACTACAAATCCAGCTGGGCAGACCTGGCAATGCACTTCGGTGGGGCCACTAAGGCCAACTGAGGTGCCTGGGTTTACAATTGGAATTTGAGGCAGTTCGTGGCTTGTGAATGAGCCTGTGGATGCAACGGTGTTATATTGCAACAGGCAATGTATGGCATCTTTTTTTCTGGTATTATGATCCGCAGCAGCTCCTGTCAGGGGGAATCTCTCTTCAGACCCCTTCACTAAACCAATGGAATCTTCCAAAATGCTCCCAGGTTGCCACGTTGTGCCAGTGGTGTATGCACTTTTTGCATCTTTTTGAAAATCCAACGCTGTTGGCGAAACATCCGTACTTGTGGATTTAAGAACACGGTCTCCATCCGTTGCCGGATTATGACCGTGGTCGATGTCCTCCGAGCCACCGTAACACGTGATTCGGCTTCTTGAAGGTTGAACGGCGTTGAGGTGTCCAATGCATACCCAGGTGCACGGCGTCGCATAGACTGGTGCGCCGAGCTGGTGCTTCCACCGCAGCTCCCCGCTCGCCGACACCGCATACACGCTGCCATCGTGCGATCCGAACACCACATCCAGGAGATTTCCCACAATGCACGGCGACGAGAAGACTGGTCCATCCGTCCAGAATTGCCACATCTGCAGCAACAACCAACGAGCACCACGTCCGTTTCCACCCACTGCAGTCGGTGACCTTGGATGGTAACTTGGAAGATAATTTAAATGTATTCAGGAGCACGTGAACATTTTATGATTGGCCATGGAGATGGAGTATTACAATCACACTTGATTACCCAGGAAAGCCTCACTGAGTTAGAAAACTTTTTGAGGGTCCTAATTTGTTAGCAGAAGGAAGCGACAATTGTTATGCTTTTTTGTAAGTAATCCAATTTGCAATTTTTTGTAAGTAATCCAATTTCCAATTTAGACCGTGAACCACCACTGGTTGCAATCTTCTGCAACCAGCGGTGGACGCACTACCACTGGTCGGTATTATGTATATGTACTGCACTGATTTGTTATTCGATTTTTATGCAAAATCCATTAGAAAGCTGGATAGCTAAACAGTCATTGTGTTTCCCAATAAGTTCGTTTGGATGGACAGCGTTGGTTCAGTTTACACAACTGAACTGCCGAAGCATGCCACATGCTTTAAAGTGGATGCAAAAGTAAGCACGGATGAATCGGTAGAGCTGGTAAATCTCACAACCCTGTGCCTGGAATCGCAAATCCATTCTGAAAACAGAATGTGATTCTTAAAACAATGTGATTCTTAGAGGCGGGTGGGGGGAGCTGCGCATAGGTCACTGTGGCATTCAGGCATTAAGGGAGGGCCCGTTGGGGCCTGGCCGGCCTGGGTATGGTCATGGATTGTGCCAATTCATTACAATCCTGGGAAGGGTGAATCATTACATTCCGGACTAGGTAAGCCTAGCGGGAAGGCAGGCATTAGTGGCAGGTGGAATGTTTATCAGGGTGCCAGGTTGTATTAGTCTGTCACCTTGTCTCCCACGTGGCTGAAGGTGTACAGACTCCCATCTACGCAGCCAACACACACATATGCACAGGAGCACGCCGGCGAGGAGAACAGAGGTTTCCCACAGTCGCGACTCCACAGCATGGCACCATCATCCTGCGACACACAAAGAATGCACACTGCATGCCTGTACACGCCTGTACACGCACGTAGCAGCGACTGGCGAGTCGTACCACAGCTAGTCGGGAAACACGCTCTATGGGTGACATACAGCATAGGGGGCAGAAGAGTCAGCATGGCAATATAGATATGCCCCCTAATGCATAGGGGCCAGGGGAGGCGGTAGTGTAGCTGTTAGCATGCTGCACTCCAAACCTGGTTGCTCGAGTTCGATTCCTACTAATGGCTAGATTATCTGAACCTGGGCCTCTCCTAGATCGACTCAGCCTGAAATTAGTACCTGGTGCGATGTGTAAACATTGCCACTGTGGAGACAAAGGTGACCGGGCGTGGTGCTGGCCACCCACCCCGTGTACCGTGCCGGCCTTCACAGGTGCTTGCTAACAGCACTTGCCACAACAGTCTGTTAAGGCTATACGGGGGATCTTTGTCTTTTAACTTCTTTCGCACCTTACGTAGCCAACCGTGCTAATCGGAGGTGTGGGGGAGACAAAAAGCAGTTCTCAAGAAATACGTTTTCAATTCAGATTTAAAAGTGGATAAGCTCCAGTGGCTTCCTAATATCGGAAGGAACAGCGTCCCAGACGGCCGCAGAAGCGCATCTGGAAGCGAACGATGCAGTGACCGACGTGTGCACTCACCGGATTCACGGCCAACAGACGTCCTCCCAGGGTGCCGACGTATGCGGCGCGTGGGATGAGGCTCACGCAGGGTGACGAGAACACGGAGCCCCCGCCACAGTGCAGCCGCCACACGCACGTCTCGTCCTGCGACACACGGCATTCCCGGGCGCCTGCGGTCAGTACGGCCCCATCGCACGCGAACGCGCTCATACGTGAAGGTGACGGTGTGAAAGGCATGTACCCTATGGCAGCCATAACCTTTGCGAATGCGTGATCATACATAGCCATGCAATGTCATAATTAATTACAAACTGGTATTGCTGTTTGGCTTCTATTGCATATGTTGAACGCCTGCTGTTATCTGCATGATTATCCTAAACTGTTTTGAGCCAAACGTGCACAAACATATTATCAACTTAGCCTTGACGTATAGTTGATAAGGTATTGTATTGTACTTATAAAAGGCCGAGACAGCAAACAACACTGAACCTGGCTGCCTTTACCTATTTTCGTCTGATGTTCATATACGGAGCACATTTCTCATTTAAGGCCAAGTCAATGTAGAAGCCCAGACCTGGTTCGGATACAAAATGACACTGGCATTGTCCAGGGCCACAGATTGAACCCAGATGTGCTGGGATCATAGCTTTCACTATGCTACCACTGCCCAAATATACACTGCATACAGAAATACGATACACTCACACACAAGATGGCTAGATCGCTCGGCGAGGCGAGTGTCTTGCCAGAGCAGTGACCTGGCACTGCTGGAATCCTGGGTTTCAAAGTGGGCAGCCATCCGTGATTTACATCAGGTTCTCAAGTGTAGTGAGACAATGAGCTCAGCGTGTCACCAATTCTCACAGACACACACAAAAGCTATCATTACATTCGTTCTTTCACAATAGCCAACCTTTTGTAGCTCTTTCCTGTGCATATGAAAGGTGTGTTCCAATGATATATAAATCGGCCTCATTAAGTTATTTCAGAAGTGGTTCTGCGATGCCATCATACTATAGCTGTTCTCTGACGCAGCAGTGATATGACAGTGATGGCACAACTGGAGATAAATGGGAGAAAAAAATATAAAATACTGTAAGTGTAAGGAGTACACCCTCCAAGTGATTAAATCTTGCAGAGCTAGACAAACTAAGAGACTTGAAACTGGTGGAGGCTGGGTGGCTCAAAGGTCAGAGGTCAGAGCACAGAGCTGATAGCGCCAAGATCCTGGGTTCGAATACAGGCAGCCATCTGCGATTACATCAGCTCACTAGACTTGCGATTCTCAAGTCTATTGAGCTGTTGGTCTCAGTCCGGTCACCAATGACGGCACTTAATTTGGCTAAAGTCAAGTTCTGAGAATTATCGTGTGACAATCATTACTTTCACATGTGCAGATGGACCTCAGAGGCTGCTCTGTGATAGCCTATTCCGTGGACCATTATCTAAACATGATGGTTTGCACTGCTGTACGAGAGATCCGATTGGATTCTTTATCTCATTATGTGACACTGATAGCACAACTGGGATAAACCTGTGGGGTGGGGGGGGGGAATATTAAAACATGTTATAAAAGACATGAAACTGGGGAATGCAGAAAAGAGCAGTGTGGCCAGTGGTGGGCAGAGCACCGAGGGACGGAGGGCGTAGAGCAGCTGGTCGTGGGAGCCGACGAGCAGAGCGCCGGAGACGGGGTCCAGGGCCGGGGAGCTCTTCACGGGGCCCCCCGTGCGGAAGGCCCACGCCACGGCGCCCGAGTCCGCTCGCAGCAGGTACACGCAGCCATCATAACATCCTGTGAGCGCACACGCCATTGAGCACTTGCCTCAACACTCGTCCACGTGCACGAGCCCACTTTCCAACACAGCGCTGTGCACACACCGGAGGCGTGGCGATTTGACTTGACGATTTTCCGTTCGAGCTCTGTAGCTTTAAATCATCTCGATTGAAAACGAATTTCTTGAAAACTGTTTTTTGTGCTTAGTTTGTTGCTCTTCTCCCACACCTTCAATTAGCACGGTTGACTACGTACGGTGCGAAAGAAATTCAACAAACATACCACGCGGATCCATTACTGCATTGAATCGCTAGATCGATTCATTCATGAGGCGGTGAATTGTTATATCCACGTTACACACAGCAACCGAGATTCAACAGATTCAACAGTACCTTTACTCTGCTCACTACTGCATCATTCACATCAGCTCTATTCACCTTCTAGATATGTAATATTTAAACTCCCATTAATTCAGACGGTTGCTGCAATGCTATTCTTTCGCACTGGCTAAACAGGCTACAATATACCTATCCTTACACTCCTTTCACTAGCTTCCTATTCACATGCACACGAACTTAAATATATCTGGGTATCCTGTACAGAGACTGGCCCCTGCCACAGGAGTGTGGAATTTCCATTCATAAAAGAGCATCGTAAATGAAAGCATTCAACGGCAATAACGTGCACAATGTCCCAATGCTTTGAGATTATCCATTCCACAGGGCACATCATGAAGTCAGCCCCAATTGTGGTACATGAGCTAAAACAGCAGAGCTTTAAAGTTTCCCCACTGCTCATCAAAATGATGATGATTAGTACTGAGCTCTACCAAGAGCGTCGTAAAGCCCGGCCGACACAGCATCATTAATTAAAGCGCTGCCATACTGGGCTGTCATGGGACAAATTGGTGTAAAACTGAGTGGAACATAGCAGATGGGATGTGGCACCCAAATAACGCTCGGTGGGAGCACAGGACGACCTTGAGATCCAGGCACGATGCTCTTCAAATAGCCACATTACTATTTGCCGCCCGGTTTTATTGCGCGTCATCACGGGGCTGCCCGTTTGGGTGAAGAAGAAGAGAGCGGCTGTGATGGTGGCGCATGCCTGTAATCTGGCATGGTGATGTCAAGGGTTGGTGGATCGCACAAATGTTGATAAATGCCCTTCCCATGGGCTTCGAGGAGCAACAATACCCTGGGGCTTGCCACGACAATGCAGTCCAGCAAATGTGGATTCCACTTGTTCCATCTGTATAGGATAGTGTTGTCCCCTCGCACGTGTGGGTTTTCTCCAGGTGCTCCGGTTTCCTCCCACACGTTAACACTCGTTAATTGGGTCATCTCAACAATTCTTCTTATTTTCCCAGGTAAGGCCTAATGAGCTATGTAGCTCTTTTTCAGAGCGACCTGGCCACAAATGATAACTCAACGAAGTGGTTTATCAAGTGGACATTTATAGCAGCCAAATACTCTCAACGAACGTTGATTCTAAATGTGGAGAGAAAAACCGGAGGGCCCGGAGAAAAATCCACGCGACCGCAGGGAAAACGTTCAAACTCGAAATATACAGGCTTCGTCAAGGCCAGGACCGAACCCACGACCTCCTTCATACCAGGCGAGGGAGATAACATCTCTCCCCCACCGCGACTTGTGAATGTTATTACCGAGCGCAACGAGCGTGCCGCACTGAGAGAGGCAGGCCGACGACTCGACGCGATCGGGCAGCTCGGCCGTCCAGAGCAGGCGGCCACCTGGCCACTCGGCGCAGAGCACGCGGCGCGAGTGGGAGCCCACGCACACCGCCACGGCCTGGGGCGGGACGCACGGCCCTCATGTGAGCGGCGCTGGAGCATGCACGCGCACGCGCACACTCGTTCATACATAACTAAGACGAAGATCCCCCCCCTCTGTATAGACTTAACAGACTGTTGCGGCAAAGTGCCGTTAGTGAGAAATTTACAAAGAGCAACACGGCATAAGACGGGGGTGGTGTGAATATCGGCCATGCCCAGCCGCCTTCGTCTCCAAAGTAGCGATGTTTGCACACCGCACAAGGTACTCATATAAAGCTGAGGTAACCTAGGGGAGGCTCAGGACTGAGTCTAATATTTCCTCACCGATGTCGGCCATGAGCAGGAATCGAACTCGGTTTGCCAGGTTTGTAGCAAAGTTCGCTAACACGACACTTCCAATCCCCTTACATATATACTGTACACACATGTACGCATATACTCGCACATACACTGAATATTCTTTCAATGCACTTGTGGATTTTCTCTAGAGACTCTAACCCTAGCCGGAAAAAAAATACTAGGACAAATGGAGGATTTTCATGGTAAATATTGCAATTGTCTACTCTGACCTGAGACACCACATGAAGGGCACTGGTTATAAAAATGGCAAGAAAATGAGTACAATTAGATAAATACTCTGGTGGGGGTCAGCACAGCTCTTGATTGCATGTAATTGAGGTAGCATTCACACCACTCCAGTTGCCCATTCACCACAACCAACAATACTCTGCTTACATCAGGCAATAACCATGCAGCATAGCTCCACTTTCTCTTCTGGGAGTGCAACTTCAAACGCGCACGCTCCCACAAAGATTTTATATGCTTCAAAATCCCACTAAATTAAAACCAGCAGCTAATGTTTAGCCTAAGCTTGTGGAATGAACCAACTAATCTGCATCTATCGGGATTTATTTGTTTGCCCATAAAGGCCTCATGAAATCTTGAGATGCTTTTTGCATCTTTTTGGGAAAAACCACATGAAGGTTCTATGTGAAACATAGAACCTTCATGATAGCCTTGAGTCGTAAGAACTGTGCAAATACCAAAATGTACTACATTATTCGTATTATTTAAAATGTGTGAAAACCAGACAGTTTGGAGATGAAAAATATGGTAAACAGGTAAAAAAATACCCACAGATAGCGAAAGTCGACTCTCCATCAGTGCAAGCCTCTTGTGGAAATGTAATGCGTCTATAACATGGGATTTAAATATAAACTGCAAGGAATTCAGGCGGATGGTACAGACGTTTGAGTGTACACCACTCAAACTCCAGTCAGAGAACAACCCGGCCCATCACCTTTCTGAGATGAATAAAAAAAATAGTAACACATTCTGGGAAATCAATAGTGGCCATCCTGTGGAAAAAACAGTGTCCACCATAACGTGGAATAGCCAAAATTTGCTGTCAATGAGTAGGAGTGTCACCCCAACGTTCATTGGAGCAGGGAGAGGCTTTAAAGTGACTGCCCTTGGCGTTTAGTTTGTTGTCTTTCCCCCGCACCTCTAATTAGCACAATTGACTATTTATGGTGCGAAAGAGTTCAACATACAGTACATACAAGGTGGCTGTACGAACGTGGCTGTGCACGAGCGTTGGGTGAGCTTTGTGGCCGCGCTCACCGTGCCACGCGCTCGCAGCATCAACAAAGGCGAGGCATCCACACACTTCCCCGTGTCGCACTTCCACAGCTCCCTCAGGATCACACCGCCTGTCCCCGTCACAACGGCTCTGTTACGAGTGCTCCCACAACCCGGCCATCCTGCGCTCGTGCTGCACGCTCGGCCATCCACCACGGTCACCCTGCTGCCCCTGCTCAGGGCCGCCACCATCTCATCCCTAGGGGGCGGCTCGCTCACAGCTTGTTGTGTTTGTGCACGGTGCGCCAGTCTCCCGATGTGGCGGCTGCTTGTGTGTTCAGATGGCATGACTGTGCGTTTGCCTTCAGGAGCTTCCTGCTCAGGAATATCCCCTTCTACCTTCCTCTTTAATATTTTACGTGGCTTTTTGCCACTATTCTCAGAGTTTGTGTTGGTAGAGTGCCCCGTGTTTTCAGCAATGCCGCTGCTGCTGTATTCCAAAAGGTGCTCGTCTGTGATATGGTCCCACGTAGCGCCCTCTCTATCCCCCAGCAGCCGGCCAAGCCTGTACAGCTCCCGGGCGCAGTAGCGAAGCGCCCAGCCAAAGGTGCGGTGCAGCAGCAGATCGGGCAGCCCGGGCAGGGAGGTGCCCAGACGCCGCTCCACATCCCCACTCAGGCGAACAACGCCAAGGGAATCGCCGCCCACGCGCAGGAACGTGGCCGTGAGGTCTGCCGCTTCCGCAGAAACTCCCCGGCCCAGGGCTTCCTTCGAAAGGGCACAAAAGCATTGAGGGCGAAAGCATTATACATTTAAGACAAACCAGCACAGAGGCAGAGATCTCCCAAGTGGTGCCGGCGAGCACCTGTTGAGGCCGGGACAGCACACAAGAGGGCGGGTGCAGCCAGCACGATGCCCAACCGCCTTTGTTTCCCTAGTGCTGGCATTTATGCACAGCAACCGGCACTTATTTAAGGTTGACTTGACCTGACACCATAGCCACTGATATAAGTTCAGGATGCTAATTGAACTCGGGTCACCGGTTTCACAGTGCATTGTGCAAACCACTGAACCAAAGCATCCCACCACCGCTCCCAACACTCACAACTCACACACACAGCAAAATACATGCAAAGGCAGGATGTGCATAGCTAAGCTTGTAAATATGTGTAGTGATGTTATACGGATCACTACGGCACTTTGTGCTGTGTGTGTGTGTTGTGGAGATAACTAGCAGGGTACAGTACCATGCACGTGACGGGCCGGGGTGAGGTATAGGGGCACGTGAGGACAAGTCTCCCCGGCTTGGGTTGAGCACGTGACGGGATGGGCGAACAGGTGCAAGGGAACTAGAATTGGCCAGATGAGCCGAGGGGAGGGGCGGCCGAGGGAGGAGCGGGGGCAGTGGGGGATAGAGGATATAAGGCAAGTCTCGAGCGAGGTTCGAGGCTGTTCGGTGGATAGAAGAATTCTGCTCGTCTGGGTCCATGCTCTCCGACATCGTGGGTCAACAGCACGAGGGCTGCTCTGACCAGAGATAGTTATCCCGTCCGAAGTGGGTCAACAGTATGTGGCTGCTCTGACAAAATATATAGTTATCCTGTGCGGAAAGTATAGGTGTACGTAGCCATCCGAAGTGAGTTAGGTGGTATAGTCCCGTGTGTAAAGGTGTAGCGTTGTATGAATAAAAGTTGTTGCCTCCAGACAGTGTGTCTGCAAATGATAACACTACATATGTATGAAAGCACTTACAAACTAGCACCAATCTCAGCCAAGTAAGAACAAGAATGAACTACTCAATTCTTACGGCGTAACGAACGTAATAAATACATAAAACCAGCTGAGTAGAGCTATGGCTAGCAAACACAAATCATTGTGAGAAATCAAGTGTCATCCCATGGAGTGACTGGCCCCTACCATAGTAATGTTGAATTTCCACCACTGACTCGGGACCGTAAATGGGGGATGAGTGCTATACTCCAGTTTTTGTAGGGTGATTACTTTTATTTTTTTTAATCAACATATATGCAGACAAGCAAAAGAGCATGGTCACCAAAACTAAACAGCATTCTATTTCAATACATATTCATGATAACAACACAAATTGCTTAAGTGCAGCACGTGCAGGCATAAATGTATTGGGCAGACCTCCAAACTCTTTGACAACCTATTTGTGGGGCACCACTGTGGTGAGATGTTAACTACCACGTCTAGCATGCACGACATTATGGGTTCGATCCCGACCATGACGCCTGTATATTGGGAATTTAGGTGTTCTCCCTGTGGTCGTGTGGATTTTGCTCCGAGTCCTCCGTTTTTTCCCTCCACATTTAAAAACGACATGCATTTAGAGTATTTGTCTCCAAAAAAATTCCATGTGATAAGCCAAAAAGTTGAGCTCTCATTTGTGGGCAGGTCGCTTCTGAAAAAGAGCTATATAGCTCAGTGGGCCTCACCTGGTAAAATAAAAATGGTTTAGTTTTAGAGTTTGGAATTCCTTTGTAATGCCGCCCTAAACCATGTTGCGCTGCAGATAATTATGCAGCACATTTGCAGGGTGGCTCCTAAAGAGACACCAGTGACATCCGTACCTGCCAACACGCCCAGAGGGTCCGTTTCAGCTGGTCTGGCTCCCATCGCTTTCCCACCCTTGAGATCTGTGCGTTTTCCACTTCGTACAGGGCCAGCAGCTCCGCAGACGACACTTTCCCTGCAGTCAATGCAAAAATTTGTGTCAATACAGCCAGGGCATCCATCAGCAGGTTCATGAAACATCCTAAACCCTCTTGAAAACTATACGGTTTAAAAAATTACACTCAAGTATCGATGGAATCTAAAGTAACTTCATATTACAGCGCAGAGGAGGCCCTGTATAAAGTCTTTGAGGCTCATTTCGTCACTCGTAAGACCAGGTTAACCCATTGTCCAACATTAACATATATAGCGCCACATAAGATAACTGCAATCACAATCTCAATTAAGCTTATTAAACAAGAAATAAACAACCTGCACTGACCAGCGTGGTAAAATTATGGTTGAACAACCCCCACATGACATGGCGCAGTAACTACTCAGGGTGGGGGAGGTTTTCGACCGTGCCGACACTGAGATGACTCATGGTCAGAACACCCATTGGTTAGAAATGCATGAGCGCCGGCCAATTAGGTGCGACTGAGCTCTGATAGGCTTAACTTGCAAATGTGGGGAAGTGGACTATCACTCGCAAGAGCAGCATTACCGACTTGCTCACGATTACTGGTGGGAGTTGGTGGAGTGCAATGTATTGTACAACAATGGGTGTTGTTGCACTGCCCTAAGGCTGAGTAGGTATCCCTTGACAGCACAGGTCATAGGAATACAGCTGAACACATGTAGCACTATGTAATCTCCTAGTTGGCAAAGTAAAGGGCATCGTGATAGTGAGATGTTAACTAGCTCGCCTGGTATACAGGAGGTCGTGGGTTCGATCCCGACCCTGACGCCTGTATATTCACATTTTGCATGTCTCTCTGGGTCCTCTGGTTTTTCCCTCTAAATTTAGAATCAACATGCTTTCAAAGTATTTGGCTGCTATAAATGTCCACATGGTAAGCCATTTCGTTGGGCAACCATTTGTGGCCAGGTCGCTTCTGAAAAAGAGCTAAATAGCTCAGTGGTCCTTACTTGGTAAAATAAAAAAATATATATATCGTAAAAAATAAAATGTTTAAACGTGACGTAAACCCATCTAACCCACGAAAATTCTAAAAAACTATGGGTGACCGCAGGACAGTCGTCCCACCCCGGCGCGTATGCCCCAGACCGTGTGAGGTGAGCGGCAGCGTGGAGATGAGCATCACGGAGTCGGGTCGTGCGTGGGAGGGGAGCAGCGAGGCAAGCTCCCGCATGATGCCCCCTCTCAGCACATCCTCCAACTCCCGCTCGCCGAGCTGCGGTTCACCCAGCCGCTCACTACAACGCTCGCCTGCAAACGCGTGCACAGTTGCGGCAGGGAGGTGGGGAGGGGGTGATAGAGGTCAGCACATCACCACAAAATCACATCGAGATTACATTTACCTTCAGCGTCAAGGCTGCTCTTGTTTCTCAGGCAAATATATTCCGCAGTTGTTTCACATTACGAGTCGAAGTTGCTCTTTGGTTTTACCCAATTCGGGGTTTTTGTTACGTTTTTTATCTGTCATCACCATAAGCCCCACTTGCAATTAGCATGGTTGGCTATGTACCGTGAGAAAAAAGTTAATCAACATATATGTATACATATGTATGTTATTCATAATCAACGTTTTTGGGTTTAGATCGCGTTTATTTATAAATGTGTCGTAACCCTCCACCACCCGACACGGCCAATCAGTAAAAAAGTGTCACGTTGACAAAGACAAATAGTTCACTGCTTTAGCCCACCGGTGTGTTGAAGCCACAACATTTACAATTTGAGTACGACGTTTCGCTGGTAATTGCAACCAGCATCATCGGGCAATTCACCATTCTGGCGCCATTCTGGCGAATTGCCCGATGATGCTGGTTGCAATTACCAGCGAAACGTCGTACTCAAATTGTAAATGTTGTGGCTTCAACACACCGGTGGGCTAAAGCAGTGAACTATTTGTCTTTGTCAACGTGACACTTTTTTACTGATTGGCCGTGTCGGGTGGTGGAGGGTTACGACACATTTATAAATAAACGTGATCTAAACCCAAAAACGTTGATTATGAATAACATTGGTCGCGAAAGCCTACGTGTTAAACATATGTATGTTGTTCAACTATGTATACATATGCATGTTGAACTTCTTTTTCGCACCGTATGAAACCAACCATGCTAATCGGAGGTGCAGGGGAAGGATAACAAATTAAACACAAAAAGTAGATCTAAATAAATACGTTTTCATACAAGACATTCTCTCTCAACTGTCGGAGAAACGTTTCAGCTTGCTGCCATTATTGGCCGTGGCTCTGCACAGTCGCAATCTACATCACTATTATATCAGGACACGATTGTGGCAATGGATTCTCATTTCGTTGCAATGAGGTCCACATACTTGGGATGTGTTCCGGAGTTTGGATTAATGGAAAGCTAGATATGCATATTTTATGATCCAAAAAAATGTTGAGTTGATAAGACAATGCAGTCTCACAAGAAGTGACATAACTGCTATTTTAACACAAGTGCCATCATGTTGCCTCATTGTTATAAAAATACTTTATATTACATACAAAATATTCTTTTCATTATGGAACCTTGCGTAAAAACAGCAATGATTCATATGTAAAGTTATTAAAATGTAAGGTTTCAAATCTGTCAATATAAACTAAAATTGGGCCTAAAATAAAAAAAAATCTGATATCTGAAAATATTTTATCTGAATGACATCCCTGAAACCATCCTATGTTAGATCATGGCTCTTGTCTTCACTGCCTTACCATCAGCAGATTTATCTACGCTATGGGTATTCTGTTTTCAAATCCACTTTTTTATACTTTTGTCCATTGAGGTTTTTTTTTCAACGTTATCAATCTGGGCTTCTTTGTGGATTTTGCATTGACCACAGCAATGATTTATCAATGCTGCAATTCTTCCTTCTTTATGAAATATCTGTGCTTGTTCACCACATTACTCAGAAGCCATTAATGTTTCCTAAAAGCATTCCACCCACCCTGGTTTACTTCCTTCATCAGCACCATTTCTCTTTTCACCGCAACCCATGATAGTTCCCATTCTGCAAAAGCGTGACGTTATAAATCTATATTTGTTGTTAGAGGGATTAATATTTGTTGTTAGAGGGTTTAAAGTACATTCGTATGACCTGAACATAATAAGTTATGAATGTAATCAATAAGGCATTTCATATCCAAAAGTCAAATGGAAGTGGTTTGTGTAAGGTTGAAAAACAAGCGTTCGTCTAGAGAAGGAGTGGGGAATCTTTTTTCTGCCAAGGGCCATTTGGATATTTATAACATCATTCGCGGGTCATACAAAATTATCAACTTAAAAATTAGCCCGTTATATTTGGTCAAACATTTCATTAACTCACCCCTAATGTGATGGCTGGAACTGCTTCTCTTTGGTGAGGCGTGTGATGTTAGCTGGTATTGATGATGTTGCTACTCGCAACTGCTTTTCCAGGTTTGCTCCTAGATTTATTGAATTTCGAGTCCCGCCTACGGTTGCCTTGGCAGGGCCAGACTAAATGATTTTGTGGGCCTTATACGGCCCACGGGCCGGACGTTCCCCACCCCTGGTCTAGAGTGTATGTAGCAGTGTGATTTATGGCAATGGATGAATAGTGTAATCTTCAATTCGTAGAATTTGAAATCAAATTAATTTTCATTGTGTAGAACCAAAAACAACTATAATAATTGCAACGTGTCTAGTCACATCTAAAATATATGAAAAACAATAGAATGCATACTTGCCATATTTATATTATGTTTATTATGAAAACCAAATTGTATTATAATGGAGCCATTAGACTAAGAGGCAATGAGTTGCCAATTAGAAGCACATTGGGTGCAGTAGTTAAAACAGATTTAAATGATTTCACTGTGGCTTCAACCATCCCTGTATCTCGCACAGCTGCAATCATCCATCCAGACTGCCCATCTCAGACTCAGTCCCCAATGATTGGTCTTGAAACAAAGTTATCATGCTTAATGCAAGGCCAAAACTGCCTCGGGTGGTTCCTTTCAATAAAGCTGTTGACCTTTTGCAATCTGTTCTGCAACACGAGCGGGACATTACAAACACGCAGCGCTCACTCCCCGCGCGCGTCCCCCGATTGCTCGACTGCTGGATGGTCCCCAAACGGTGGCGGCTTTTCATGATTGCAGCTGTGCTCCCCTGCCTGCAAATGCACCTGGCTCGCGGGGTGGAGGGGGCGAAGGGGATGGAGGGGGCAGAGTGCCGCGCGTGCGAGAGCCATCCCGCTGTGACCCAGATCGGCTGCCGGGGGACATGGCTGGAACCACGAACAGCAATAGCAGCGTCTGCCCGGGTGTCATGACGGCCGCACATGCCTCCACTGCCGCCAGGCATTCGGCCGTCTGTGCACAAACACCCGCGCACACGCGCACGCATGCACACACATGAGCAGACAAACAAAAACAAATATCCTTCGTCCGCATCTAGAGGCGGCTCGAGAAACTTCCCTAGGCAGCCACGGGGGGAAAGGTCTCTGAAATTTCAAGCTTTTAAAATCAGGCCCAAAATAAATAAATAAAGCATTAAATGTATTTTCTCTGGTATGCAGTAAAAGGGGGAGAGTGTGTTTGCCCCACATTACTTACCGCCCCCCCCCCCTCTCCTCCCACCCTGCCACCTCCCCAACCTTGGATCTGCCATGCCATTGACTTCGTCTCATATGATCTGGGGGTAAATGCTGTTAGTGAGCACTTATTAAGGGTGTGAGGGGGCCAGCACCATGCCCGGCCACCTTTGTCTCCACGGTACTGATGTTCACCAAACGTACCAAGTACTAATTTGAAACTGAGTTCAACCAGTGGAGGTCCAGAACAAGTCTAAATGCCACGTGTGTTTATAGTGCAATTCCCAACAGCCATGCCATCACACCCCACATACTGTACGCACAAACACACTAATAAAAAGTCGAAGAGCGGTATGCACAGACCGACACGTGCAATCACCTGTACGCACAAACACAGCACAGCAGTAAATACAAGCTCACACATACTCGTAGAGAGAAGCACATACACGGGCACATACAATGCAATTACACACACACACACTTGCATGCATGCCAGCCCCACGGATGTCTGTGACCATGGCTACTGGACATTATTGCCGTGAGGCCCAGTTATGCATGGGCAGTTAGCAAAATCAAGTTTGAAAAGACAAGGTCAGGTTGAATTACAATTATTATAGCTTCTGCCCAGGCACTGATATAATAATATTAATAGTGATAAGCCAAAGTTACGATGACGAATAGGACCAGGGCACGGGGTGCAAGCCAGCTGCAGCTCTTAAAGGTAATGTTAATTTAGACAAATGATACAAGTCCATAAAATGCTGTATGCCCTATACATTTTAATTTGCAGGCAATTTGTGCGGCTAAGGGAAAAATTGCATAGGCATGCGGCTCGTGTTATACAAGCTCACAAAATATAAAATGCGTGTGCAATATATGTAATAATATATATCATTTTAGAATCAATCTCATTTTATACGATTAGGTCTGTAGTGAATTTTGTTGTACTTCAGTTATCTACCATGCTAATGTTGGTGTCTGCAATGGTTCTATAACCTGTGAAGCCAAAGCTATGGAAAGAAATAATTCTCCTTGGCAAGTTTTCTACGTAAAAATTAAGATAGTTATTAATACATTCATTATCTTTACAAATCCTTCACATTTGTGTTGATGGAATAATGAAGGCAAGAGGACTAGGAGGAAGATAGTCTCAACACACGGCCCAGTGTGAGAATAACCCTCGTATGTCTGTGTCACGATTCACCCCAACTTCGTCTACAGCGATTCAGGGTCATGATTCAAAGATTATTATTTTTATTGTATTGTGGTATATTGTGAATGTAATGGCTTCTCGCAGCTGCAGAGGTCACATACAAACCCAAACACATCGACTCTTACGCATGCAAATCAACGCATGTCCCTTGACGTTACGAGTCGATATAAAGCGGCGGATCGTCGATGTGTCGTTACACCCTATTGGATGGCGACAGCAGAATAAACATTGCCGCCAGGGTCTCGCATCAGGGAAGGGTCCCTATCGGATATTAGCCATTGACCCGGGCCAACGTGGCCCATACCTGCTGCAAGAGCAATGGGTCCAGCTGTTGGCCGTGCCTCTTGACGAGTCCGTCCGACCGCCCCACGTAGTACACCAGGCGGCCGGCCACCCTGCCCACGTCTCCGGTGGCGCGCATGGTGCCAGGCACCAGCTCCGCCTCTCCGTCCAGCAGGCACGTCCGCCGCTCTCCACCTGGTCCCCATCGTTCATTTAGTAATTTATCAAAAAATGTTTATTAGTCATGGGGCAGAAAATGATGGCCTTCTCGCGGTCTTCCCAGTTGCTTATAAAACGCAGCGAATGTCATAATAACAGGTGACTGAGCAATGCTAATTGGTTAGAAAAAGCAACGGTCCCCAATGAGGGCCAAGGTAGCGTGAAGATCGATCGCACCATCACTGTGCATCATCCAGCGAAATGTGGAAGGGAATCTTGTGCATAATGCGACGACCTCGCCAAGGTGCCGAACACCACAATATGAATGCGAGTCGTAGTCTGTCTAGTTGAGGATAATTTGTAAAAAGTCTTAGCCTGTGGATTTCAAGTAGTAATGTTCATCTCAACTGAAGTACAGAAAATGTCCATTCTTATAAGACCAAAATTGACCATTATAAATAAATATTCTGATTATTGTTGGTATGAAGGGTGTACAATCTCTCGCCCCTCCTGCCCACAATTTTATCAGCTCAGTCAATCAGTTAACTTGGTAACCTTTTTATCAGCATACATAAACAATTCCCATGTTTGGTCTTCCTGATTGCACTGCTGTTTCTGAGAATGTTTTGATATTATCTTGGTCCGTGTCTTCCTTCAAACTCGTCAAGGTAAACAATTTGGTCTTTTGTGGGCAGTGGTAGTCATCGTCAACGTTGGTGTTTTTCTTCCACTCACTGTTGATTTATATATTTTTTTAAATCCTCTTTGTTAATAGTTATCTTATTCACTAATTTTGACCACAAAATAAACACCTAGCTTTGACTACTTAAAAGGTGTGCATTGCATGTGTAGTGGCATAGAATAGTAGTGTAACAGTATAGCGCTGGCTGCTGGCAGGGAAGGGGATCTGTGGCTTACGGCAGCCCTGACATCAGCAAGCCACGTGATACACCAGAGGGGGATCTAGGGGAAAGGTCACAGAAGGTGCACACCAATAACCCGCTCGTAGGTTCTAGAAAGGGGGCATGGCCGGGGGCAGAGCCAGGCCACGCTGACAGTATAAGAAGGGCCCCTGTAGGGGACCTTAGGGCTCAGGGCACTAATGCTCATATCAAATTCCTGAACCGGTGTAACTGAGACCCTGGGTTTGGATTTTTGTCAATCACTCGTGATATAAACCATGTTGGCAAGTGTAATGAGCTGGTATGTGCTTGCATATCAATTAAAACTTGAAAAAAAAGCATGAAACGACTGACTTTTAACACAATGGCTTTTATCCTAGGTCTGTGAACTTAAATCAAATGATAATTATAATCACTTGGCAGTCGCCTTTGGAATATGTCATCAAGGACAAGGTCAAGAGACACCTTTTAGGATTCACTGAAAGCACCTTACATGCACGCATGCAAAGAGTAAAGTTGGACTTATTAATAATTAGGTGAGAAACCTGAAGTCTCTTTTGCAAGAAAGGGCTTGGAGTATCAACTAAAAAAAGTATGGAGCAAAATATTAATTGTAAAATAGAAACAATTATATGTGAGAAAAAATATCTTAACAAAATAAAGAAAACAGCATGAGTAAGAACAAACATGACTCAGTGTTAAACTACGGTCCCTTCTCCATTGTTTCCTCATGAACACTGTGCTCCAATTACCAGTGAGGGAACCCGCACTTGATCGCTTTGACTTCAATATTTAAATGTTATCCCATCATTTTAATGAAAGACCCAAAAAAGTGATTGTTTTTTTACCTTAATTTCCAAATGAAACCTGCTGCAACAATGCATTGTTCATTTGATCATTCATAATACTGCACCTTTTACAGGATAACCACTAATACGGTGCCATATATCACAGTTGTCCCATTGGGACCCAGAGGAAGGTGGCACTTTTTTTTGTGCATAATAAGTTTGTTGCCCCCCCCCGCACCTCCCATTCGCACGGTTGGATACATACAGTGCAAAATAAGTTCAACATACAGGGACTCCTCTACTTACGAACATTCGAATCACGAACTTTCAGAGATATAAACAAACCTATCCATATGTCCAGTTTGGATCAAGAGTCGTAAGTTCAACCAAAGCACAATATGTGGTGGTGGTAGCATTTACACCTGCAGAACATGAAGAACCAGTGGCATCTACATCTACAGGAGATTGTACAACTTTTAAAGCCATGTTTAGTGTACATGCCGCACATGCTTGGAATCGACAGGAGTAAACAAACAAACCGACTTAGGAACAGACCTCTGGAACCTAACTTTTTCGTAAGTAGAGAAGTCCCTGGCCATACACACATCAGCATGTGAGTCTGCAACGGTGGGCCACTGTCACATAGTGCTTGCCGGCGAGCGCTGCACGTTAGTGTAAAGCCACGAAGGGGATTGACTCGTAGGAAATAAACTGATAATGAATCCAATCAGGCTGGGGGATGATTACATCTTAACAATGCTCACCTGATTGGGAGGAGAGGGCATTCGGTACCCTGGGTGTGCCTGGGGTAATTGGCTCAGCTGCTGCTCTATAAGAGGCCCTATAGAAGCAAGAGAGATGATGGGAGGAAGATATGGCTGTGGATTGCATAAGCTGATTGATGATGATTTTGCTAATGTTCGCTGATAGTGCTATAAACATCTTTTGTCAGTGATTAATCATCAGCCATGATCTATCCCCTGCTGAATGATGGCCTCCCCAAGCTTTTGCCAACACGTACCGTCCTTGAAGCTGCGTCCCCTCCTTTGGCTACAACTCTGAGGATAAGTCTCCACTCCCGACTATCATTGATGCTCGCAATGTGTTCTGACCAAGCCCACTTGATTTTCTTAACAAATTATGTCTAAAACCCTCTAGAATCCACGTGCTCCTCTTTCTGTCGGAAGTAATCCAAGCACGCACCTCCCCATGCATCTTTAAGAACTTTTCAGTGGTCACACGTAATTTACACTGATTAAAATCGTTATTCTTTAGGCGTAAAGGTGTAGTTTATCAATAGAAAATTCTGGTTTACAAAAACACTCTAAATCTATTCTCACCAGTGTCGATTTTATACCCTCATTTTAAGCTGCTTTCAGTAAACTGTCGCAGGTATAAATACTCTGTTTTCCAACTGTGCCCCTCTAATTTGCTGATCCCGTGCACCTACTGGACATGTGAAAATCGAGCTTCATTGCTCATCAGATTCCTCCTCCTGCAGTCTAAATAGATATTCTAATTCTGAAAATGACTTATTTAAATTGTGACGTATGAAACCTCATGCTCTTCATCTGAAAAAGTGTTTTATTCCTAGAATATCATTGTTTTTGTCACCGAAACCTGCATATTATTGGTTCCATATATCTCTTTAAGGGTTACTACCATTTGTGAATGGCAAATCATCCATCTCCTTTGTGGTGCGCGTTTGTGCTCCCATTGCTTGCTCGGTCTTCAATCATCATGCGATGTGTTCAGGTTGATTCTCCCCCCCTAATAATAATCAGGTTTCTGTAGAGTAAAATTTTTTCAGCATTTTCACCTCATTTCATATATCCCCTCTTCCTCGATATGTGTTCAATGGTTTCAGGCAATTTCTTCTCTGCTTTTTAAACCTTAGCTCCTCATCACCACTTTCTAAACACGATCCATTACTATGCTCGTCACTGCATCATAAAAGGTGACAAGATCCGTGTCATCAGTTTGCTCCTCGGTGCATTTCAATATATTGCTTTAGTATAAAATTGGCTACCTCCTGATTTAAATGTTCATGTTAACTATCTTGGTTTTGCCTGCAGTAAGTTTTTGCCTCACTTTGGTGACGGTGAAGTGCAACCTGCATCACGCCAGCCTGTGATTACTTCCTGTTGGGTTTTTTTTACTTAAACACCTGGCAAACTTGGGTTTGGCTATGAAACTCAAGTCACATCTCATGTATAACTCCACCTCCTAGAGTCCTTGTTTGCAGGTGTCCGTGATTTGCACGTTCTCTGCTGGTTGTGAACTCTAGCTCTCCTCTTACCATCACTCGCCAGTCATCCTCTTGTCTCTGCAACATTAAACTATTTTTGCGAGGAAATAAAAGTATTTCATGATGATGTCGGGATGCCTTTTACCATTATTTAGATGTTTGTAAATTAAATTATACATCTTCCATCAGGAGGAGGCTGCAAGGTGGGCCAAGGCAGTCTCTCTTGCCAAACAGGGACAGTGGACTCGATGGGACAGTGTGGAGAAGAGGAAGATCAGCTGGAAGGATCTGTGGGCCATGGAAGCGAGGCGGTTGAGCTTTTCCATCAGAGCAACATATGACGTCCTTCCAACACCAGTTAATCTTCACCAATGGTATGGTGAAGATCCGGACTGTGCCCTCTGTTCCATGCCAGCCAACCTCAGGCATATTCTCACAGGATGTAAAACAAGCCTCACCCAAGGACGCTACACTTGGCGTCACAACCAAGTCCTTAAAAACCTTGCGTCCGCCCTGGAGGACAAGCGAGCTGCCACCAACTCCCTACCACCCCCAGCAGCATCACACCCCTTACGGACGACCTTTGTCCGCGAAGGGGCTAAACCACCGAAGAGCGGCTCTACATCAATACAGCGAGACCAGCTGCGCTTGGCCCGCGACTGGAAAATGCTAGCTGACATTGGCCGGCAACTTGTGTTTCCTCCGGAGATCGCAACCACCACCCTAAGACCTGATATGGTGCTCTGGTCCCGTTCGCTCAAGAAGGTCTTCATCATTGAGCTCACAGTACCCTGGGAGGACTCAGTAGATGAGGCTTATGAGCGAAAACATCTGCGCTATGCCGATCTAGCTGCCGAAGCACGGCATCATGGCTGGAACACAGAAGTCCGACCAGTGGAGGTGGGCTGCAGAGGTTTTGTGGCAACATCTACAACCAGACTGCTTAGAGACCTGGGAATTAAGGGCCAGAGCCAGCGTTCGGCAATCAGAGCTGTATCGGAGGCGGCAGAAGGCAGCAGTCAGTGGCTCTGGATGAAGAGGAAAGACCCCAGCTGGTCCCCAAAGTGAGAGGGCCAGGAGGTATGCAGTCAACAATACTTGACTCAGGGAGGAGGACGCCCCTGCCATGTATAGTCCCATGGGATGTTGGCTATCAACAACAAGGCAACTCCTATGACTAATTGGGAATGGGACGCAAGCGTAGAATTGATCACCCTGTCGCTGCCCGCCTTTGGGGAGGGTGTATAGTATGAAAGGCCGAAACACCCTAGGAACCAAAGGTTCACTACTGACGATGCGCTCCCCAAATTTCACCTGGCTCACTGTTCATGAACTCTTGGAAGTGCTTGCACAAAGGATAGTAACATCTCATCCTGTGTTCTTTGGAATCTTCAAGGCTTGCTGTTTGAGCATATTACATTATTTTAATTTGCAAAGCCTTTATGTATGTAAGCTCTATGACTATGTAACACGATGAAAGAACAAAAATAAGTGTTAAGACATTGTCATGTTAAAGTGGATTTTAATATAGCATGTAAAAAGAATTACAAGAATAGCTCCCTATCCAAATGTCCCCATTGTGAATATAAAACCAAATTGGCTATTCAGAATGTGCTCTCAAAACTACCAAGGAGTGACTTTACAAGGTTAACCGAGAGCTTGTATGCTCTTTTACCAACGGGGAAGCCCTAAAAGTGTCAATCAAATCAATAAAATAACTCTATTGTACTGCATATGGTCAATAAAAAAATGAAATGTCTTCTGTATGACCGTGATGACTCAAGCGACAGCAGTAAATGTTACAGACAAGTTGAAAAAGCCACGGTATAATAAATCTGTTTGAAGGTCATTCACAGCATAAATCAAAGATAATTATAATTTATAATAGAGTACATTGGTATTTGTGTCATTCATAATGGGGGAAAGGTAATAACTAAGTGCTACGTTCCGTATTGTCTGCAGTAGTTTCACAGTAAGGGGTAAAATTGCGATGTTGATGTGTGTAATTCATCTTTAGTAATTTGGGGGTAAGTTTTCAAATTTGGCAATTTTTTAAAATGTACTCTGAAAATTATTTCATGGGGATTACACACAGTAGCAGCAATCATCAGCCCTCACTGGCAGATGAATGCCTTGCTCACAGGCCAGGTGCTGAGTCACCTTGTGCTGCACAGGGACAGCTGCCACTGCTCTTCGAATTGTTCCAGATAAGGCACTTTGACTTGCAGATCCATTTAAGCGACACTATATAAATACAACTAGCTGTACTACCCGGCTTCGCCCGGGACTTGTATCCACCACGGCCGGCCGCCTTTGTCTCCCCAGTGGCGATGTTAATACGCCACACCAGTTACTCGTTTGAGGTTGAGTCGACCTAGGGGAGGTTCAAATAATCGTCACCGGTGGTGGCCGTGAGCGGGAATCGAACTCGGTTCGCCGGGTTTGTAGCGCAGCGTAGCGTTAAGCACTACACCCACCACTCCTCACACACCACACACGCACAGACACACACACAGACACACACACAGACACACGCAGACACACACAGACAGAGACACACACACACAGACAGCACGCTAACCACTACACTACCGCTCCCCACACACCACACACGCACACACACAGACACACACACAGACACACACACACAGACACACACACACAGACACAGACAGCACGCTAAGCACTACACTACCGTTCCCCCTACACAACACACGCGCGCGCGTCCATAGGTACACATACACGCGCTTGCTGCAGACACATACGACTTTCAGGGTGCGTACGGCAGTAACCGACTGAAATAATAAAGCGGCAATGCTGCGCGAGGAACGCCTTAGACCTGCAAGACATTTGTGTAATGCGAGTGTAAACGGACAAACACATACAAACACATACACACACATACACACAAACACATACACACACATACATACACACAGACACACACAAACACACACATACATACACACAAACACATACACAATACACACACACATACATGCAGACACACAGACAGACACATAACACACATACATACACACACATACATACACAGAAACACATACACACACATACATAGACACACACATACATACACACAAACACATGCACACACGTACATACACACATACATACAGACACGCAGACATACACATAAACACATAAAAAAAAACCCACATACATACACACACACATACAAACACACAAACACATACACACATACATACACACATACATACAGACACACAGACATACACATAAACACAGACACACATACACACAGAAATACACATAAACACATACACACATACACATGACCCGGCTTCGCCCGGGACTTGGATCCACGATGCCCGGCCGCCTTTGTCTCCCCAGTGACGATGTTCACACACGACAGCAGTTACGCGTTTGAGGCTGAGTGGACCTAGGGGAGGGCCAGGTCCGTTTCAAATAATCGTCAGCGGTGGTGGGCGTGAGTTGGAATCGAACTGGAGTCGCTCAACCAGCTTAATGACTATTTGTACAAAGAACATATAAAGAATGGATTATAATAAGCAGGCTACAGTCGACATTATAGACTGCCAGTACACGCAGTCAGCTTCATAAGCAGGCTAGAGTGTACATGATAGAGTGGCAGTACGCTCACCGAGCTTAATAAGCAGGCTACAGTCTACATGCTAGACTGGCAGTACGCTGACCCAGCTTAATGACTATTTGTACAGTGAACATTTAAGTAATCGATTGTTGGCGCGTTGGGTTTAAAAGTAATATTAATTGCACACATTGTGGTGGGGGTGGAGTGAACAGTAGGAAAAACTTTGATGAATTTACCTCAGAGTGGCGTGGTGGGTGTCGAGGCCTAGTAGCGTGCAGAGCCTGCGGCCTCGCCAAAATTGTCCACCCGGCAGAGGCAGGGTACGGGTGGCGTGCCTTCCCCCCCCCCCTCAGCGCTCCAACAATACTGTGTAATGGCTATTATTTAATTTTTTACGGAGCCTATGAAAGTGGCGAAGGCGTGGCTAGCCCTTGGCAGGGGCAACCGCCGTCCAATGAAACTGCAGCCCTTGGCGAAGGCGTCGCTAGCCGTTGCCAGGTCCAATGAAAGCGGCGAAGGCGTCGCTAGCCGTTGCCAGGGGCAACCGCCGTCCAATGAAAGTGCGTATGGTCCGAAATCCACACACACACAGACAGACATCCACGATTTTATATATATATAGATGCTTAGTGTTAATTAAATAATGAATTGACGATTGTACAAAAAGTGTGTCGGTCAGGTTATTCCTGTAACTAAAACCAAGTGTGCTTACCTTAAAAACAGCCAGAAGAAGTAATGTAACATCTGTCTTGCAAACGCACTGCTGATTCCTTTAACTCACCTCAAGAGCTTACATTGTATAGTGGGCTTTTTTTCTTCATGCAATTCTATTTTGGAACGGATGGTAACAAAGGTGGGTAATTTAATATGCATTAGGCTTTGTGGCCGGGGGAATATTATGGTTATGAATGAGCAGATAAAGACATGCCAGATGGGCTGAAGGACCCTCTTGACTTCAGTGAACGAACCAAAAGTAAGACTGGAATATGAATGTGTAAATGCAAGTTCTCATCCATTTGTCGCGAGTACCTCCGCATAGACAAGTATTTAATAATGGCATAACGTATTCTCCCAATTATAAAACGCATTATTTTCAGCAATATTTTAGCATCAAGTGTTGGGGATGCATCTCATAATGTGGAGAGTAGATTGTCTTTTCAAAGATGTGTTTTCATTGAATTGTTCAAAATCGCCATCCAGCAGCGAATTAATAATCATATTCCAGAAGACCTCTCTCGTCATTTCAAAGCAGATAATTCATCGTGATCTTTCGGAAGACTGCTCTCCATCGTACTGTATTCTCCCAATTATAATCTACACTTTTTTTTTCAAAATGACCCCAAAGTTTGGGATACGTCGGAGTCTCTAGTGCATCATTATCCGGAGAATATAATAGTACATCTCTGTCAGCAGTGTGAACGTACTGCTCAGCTGTCCCGAGTACTCACCAATGTATATCTGCCCTTGCCCATGGTGCAGAACCTGCCCCGCCCCATCCCTCACCTCCACACGGGTGCCCAGCAGGGGTTTGCCAACAGGGACGGCGCACTGCTCACACCTAAAAAATGGAGAGATGGAGATCGCCTCGTCAGCCCGATTGGGCTACTGGGACACGTGCTACTTGGTATGGTCATTATAGGACGCTGACTGGCAAGCAGCCAGCACTATGGCCTGCCACCTATGATTTTCTAAAAGTTATGAACTCCACCTTTACATTTCGAGCATTAACAATCCCCAGGCAACATATTACGACCATTACTCTTGTAAGCAGGAGCTCCTTATATCAAAAGGAAAAGATTGCTGGGTTTAGAGACTTGAGGGCAAGTGCTGCTAATGAGCACATGCTTAGAATAGTCACACAAGGAAGAGGTGGTGTGGCCTGAACCACACCTTCGCCGCCTGTCTTCTCCCCTGTGCCGATGTTCACACTCTACACCAGTTACCCATGTAAGGCTGATAGATAAATTGGATTCTTACGACAAGTTCAGAGCTAGGGCACAATGGACTGCAATTTTTGCTCTCCTGCCAAATGTCAAATTCCTAATGCAGTAGCCTGCTGGATCTGCAATTGAAGCTGAATAATAAAGGCTTAGTGATGTAGTAAAATCAAGAAGCAGAGATTAGTGAGATATGCGATGATGGGAGAGATGCATCGAGACACCGGAATATAAAGTAGATACATGTATTCATTAGAGATAGGACAATATGTGCATAAGATATGGAAAAGTTATGTATTCAAGAGACAAAAGAAAGTACAGATATATTCATAATACTGTATATAGTATAACGCTTGTAGATGCATTCCGGAGAAGTAGAAGAGAAGGGAGAGATTTGTATTCAGGTAAAAGATCAAGAGGTTAGCAAGGTAGGCAGCGGAGTGGCACCCTGAGGTGCGTTGACCAAGGGAAGACATAACAGCCAGACTGTGGGATACTCCAGGAGATACCTTGGCGGTATCATCTTTGCAAAAACTGCAGCAAATAGAGGAAATTAGGAATCTGGCACATTGTGTTGGCATCAATGGCCTTGCTGCCTCCGTATATACATGTATACGGCGGCTGCTAGCCCCATCAACGAGTATCTCCCGGGACCCCAACACCCGTGGGCGTTCTTACGTATGAAGTCGTGCATACCCCGGAAGCAGGTGCTGTGTCGGGATTTCGTGGCACGTGGCCCAGCATGACACCTCAGTGATGCCGTACAGGTTGAAGAGTCGCGTGCCGTTGCCGATCGACTTCCAGGTGCGCAGCGCGGACAGCGGCGGAAACGGCTCCCCGCCCAGCGCCAACACCCGCAGCGGGGACGCGGACGCCAGCACTACATCACGCAGCACGGCCACCCCGAACCGCCGCAGCAAAGTCGGTGTAGCCTGAAAAACACACCGTCACGCTGTTGCCATGCGACCACACACGGGTGATGGTGGGAAACATGGAACGCTGCACCTGGGTCAGTGTGGTCTGCTCACCCGCATATACTTTGGTGTGGCACATGCGGCTCGTAGCGGTGAGGCACACGGACCACAACTGTAGGGTCACCGTGACCGCAGCATAAGTAATTGTGGCATTAAGACTGAACAATCATCTGCCTTAACCAATGCGATAATTAACCCTTGGTCCTACTACACTACTGTGGGTGCCATGAGCATTAACGTGGGTAGGTAACCAGCAGTCGGTGACCAGAGGAACGACATTCAACCTCGGAGGTCATGTGTTGACTACGCAACAAGTACAGGATGTAACCGAATGAAGTAGGAGATTACAATATACAATGGTATCAATGGAAATGGTCAGACCTCCTGACCCTATGTATATATAACGATATTATTGCGTTGCCGTTAGTGAGCACATATTGGCTGTCACTGCATACCGTACTCTGATACCACGAACAAAGTATATATGTATGTTAAACTTATTTGTGAATCGGAGGTGTGGGGGAAGGATGAAACAAACTACACACAAAAAGCAGTTATAAAGAAATTAGATTTGAATATAAATTTAAAAGTGCATAGCTCCAGTGGCTTCCTAATATCAGAAGGAAGAGCGTTCCCAAACGGCCACAGAAGCACATCTGCGATGCAGTTACCGACTTTGTATGATGGCCAGCCAAAAGCCGCTGCGAGGATGACCAGAGTTCGCGTGATGGTTTATGCTCCTTGACGTGATCTACAGCCTTTGCTTTCCAATGCTATTGCGTATCACTTAATACCGGGAACTCATTTTAGGCCGAGTTAATCTAGTGGAGGCTCACGCCAAATTTAGATAATAATTGCAACTGGTGCTATACATTGCCAGGATTAAACGTGGGTCACTGAGATCGTACCAGTGTGAAAATCGCCACGCCGACACTCCACGCGTGCACACACGAGGACACCCGGCATATGGGCACTGCAATATTCCACACCGATGCATCATGCCTTAGCAGGTGTAAATATACCGTATATGGCTTTTTGCACTCGTAATTCAGCTTTTCGATTAACATCTATTTCTCTCCCTTGCCTCCATTCCCCACTCAAGTGCTGGCATTGGCACTTAGCCAGACGCATTACTCATTTGCTGGACTCTTGGGCACTGATGCATGACGGGCAGCTCGTCTGTGAATGTGAAGTGATTCAAAACAAATGCCATTTCACTTAATCTTCATTTTCTACTAGGCCAGAGGGAAAATTGAAATTAAAGCTATTGCGTCCAGAGGAGTTTAAATTCAAGACGCAGAGGCTGTTGTGCCGCCATGTAAACAGGTACCATCAGTAGCATTCGTATTTACAAAAGGGTAATGATGCATCTACAAAATGAATACAACATTTAAAAAAATTAAACACAACGCATGCTTATGACCTGAAACGGTCACATCTTTTAAAATTTGATTACAAATCCACTTAAATTTTTTTTACATATTGAAGCTAAATTTGGCTGCTGTGCAGGTGAATGCATCAACATGTTATCCGCATGGTAATGTCTGGTTTTAATGATTATGCGCTACCATTACTTCTCATTTTATGTGGTCATTTGTTTAATGGGTGTGTGTACATTGTACGTGGTTTCAAATAATAATTGTAACGTAAGTTAGCCTAAATGTCATTGATTTTCTATCTCACCATCAGAACATGTATGTTCTTGTGTTCGAGACAAGCGACTTATAGACCAGTGCTAATTTGAAGGTATTATCATGCATTATCCTTTTTCGACACATTGTAAATCACGGTTACAAACTTGCAGCATAATTGCATTTGAAGAAATTAAATTAATCATGTAATCTTTAAGAAGATCCCACTTCCACTTGGCAAGTGATACAATCCCATAAAGCAGTGTAGCTGATGGGATGTTTTAAAAATATATATTTTATATGGAATTATGGATACATGTGAAAAGCCTACTGTCTACTTGTTTATTTTGTTATAGTCTCCACAAGCAAGGAACATGCCAACCATAAGATAATATATGCGAAATTTGGTAAAATTGCTAAGAAAACAAGAAATCAGAGTACACATCACAACTTATTAAAAATATCATACAAAAACAATGGGCGCAAGTAACGCAAAAAAAGAACGTTAATGATTGGTATCTCACAAATAGGACGTTTAAAGAGAATGATGAAACCAAAACACACGAGTCAGAATCTTATCATTAATGGAGGACATATATGCAGATCTCGACAGCAACAAGAAAAACATCCAAATGCTAGAAATCCAAGATTTTTCAGAAAGGTGACAAACATGGAAGCACCAGAGCAGAGACTGAGAAGCAGGCCTAGGAAGGGGTAGTTCTGAGTGGTGAACCAGGATGTGAAGGACTATGCAGTGGGTGTGGAGATGGTGGTCCAGGACAGGAATGAGTTGAGAAGAGGAGTGGGAAGGCAGCTGACCCCATACATGAGAGGACATTTCTAGGAAGAAGGCAATATTAATGGCAAATCTGGGAAGTCTTTTTTTGGTCTTGTGGCTGCCCACCACTGCCAATGCAATGCCTTAATTTTGTCAAGTTATTCAACGACGTTTTCAGAACAAAGTGTTACAATATTGAAGCAATGACACTCACTTTGTTGCTGTAGCCATATTAAGTGAATGTAGAAAAACAGTAGTCATGTGATATTATCATCAGGTCATGTTTGTATTGCCTCTGTTGGTGACCCTAAAATCCAGGGGTAAAAATGACACATTCCCACAGCAGAGACCAGTCTCTATAGGGTGACCACTGTTACTTCCCAATTTGTGAGATGCCGTAGGGATGATGGGCTGAGCTGTATCCAAATTGGTATTATAACTCACAAGCTTCCAATTGCAATTAAGTCTAAAACAGATTTTGTTCGTGCATTTGGTGAAGGCCAAATTATACCGGTTAGTGACCCTAAACACACTTCTGGCAATTAACATAAACATGGGAATTACGTTTGCAAGTAGCATCCCGCTTGTGCGGAACCATTAACCAATTTTTATATAATGATGAAGTAAACCTGCTGGCAAGTGGAGCTTGAGGGCAGCGTGCAATAGTATTAAGCAATGGAATGGGGAAGTGTCCAGATGGCCTCATTACAGCGTTGACCTTGGTGTGACTGTGCTTGCTTGCGTGCGTGGCGGGCTAGGGGTATGGGGGGGGTGCACCTGCAAGACGGTAGCCCGGCTGCGCTGGAACAGCACGCGCTGCAGGTCGCGGGGGCTTCTGCGCACATATGGCGGCACCAGCAGCAGCGTCGCACCACTTGCCAGCGCCAAAAACAACTCCACCACCGAGGGGTCGAAGGTCAGTGCCGACACCAGCACCACCACATCCTCCGGCGACATCGCGAACAGGGACCTTGAAGTGGACACGCGGGCAATTGCCGTGAAATTGCCTAACGCTCAATTGTTACTCATTGTCCAATTTGGTGGCATATGCCGATGCATCAGTGACCCCTTGGCACCGATTCATAGATCCAGCTTCAGAGAGACAAGCCGACATGCTTTAGAAGGTAATCTTATACGCACAGGTCTGAACAGAATGGGACACATTACCGATTTAATAGGTACTGCAAATTTACAAGTGTGCCGCTCAAATATACGTGAAGTGATAAATCATCTTTATATCTGTGACCTGGATATCTGAAAAGCAGTTGGCTGATGAATGAATATTCTAATTCAAATACCTCGTGGTTTACTGTGGCCAATTGTTAAAAGGTTTGTGCAAGCACATTTGTGTTAATTTGTTATTTTTGGGTGCTTAGGATCAGTGTCTTGTCATGTGGAAAGACTGGCCCCACCATAGGCACATAGAATTTCCACAACAATAATGAGCACTGCCCCAGGCTTATTTGAGCATGCAGATGATTTGACCTTGAAGAACATTTTAATTATAAGAGGGAATGTGGTCTACTGTTAATTTAAATGAGACCTCCAAGAATCTGTAATGTATTTTTTTTCCTTTTTGATGCACCATTTTGTCTTATCAATTTTAGAAACCATCACGCAAACGCCGGTCATCCTCACAGCGGCTTTTGGCTAGCCATCGAACAAAGAAATCACTGCATCGCACACTTTCAGATGTGCTTCTGCAGCTGTTTAGAATGCTCTTCCTTCCGATATTAGGAAGCCACTGGAGCAGAGGAATGCACTTTCAAATCGAGATTGAACTCATATCTTTAGAACTGATTTTTGTGTTTAGTTTATTGTTCTTCCCCGCACCGCCGATTAGCACGGTTGGCTACGTACGTTGCAAAGGAAGGTCAACACTGTACTGTCAATGCCGTGTTGTGAGATGAAGATATATCCATTCGGTATTATGAACGCCCTACTATAAATCACCAAATTATTTATCAAATGGCAGTTAAACTGAAATTTTGTCAATTTGGGTAAAAATTTAATGTATTTTGATGAGTTTTTGCAATCATAGGTGTCTGAGCTGAGACAGCAATTTATAACACTAGTCGCTGGTGCAGGAATGTTTTACTGCAATTACTTCCTGTTGCTTTAGGTTGCTCTCATGGAAATACACGCATCTTCCATGGGCCATCGCAGTAAAGGCACTCACCGTAGGTGCGTGATGTTGGGCACAATGCAAGCATGGGGCACATGCACAATCTTCGGGGGGCCCGTTGTGCCGGAGGTGTGGAGCACATAGGCGATGGCGTCTGACCCCACAACGCCTCCCTCCTTCCAATGGTCAGGCCTGCAGGTGGCCTCCTTACCATCCTCATCAGCCCCTTCCGTGACCACACTGGGCTGTTTTGACCCAAGAATGGAACTGTCACGGTCAGGGCATACTTTGCCATACACAGCAGAGTCAGGGCAGTCTGTACCAATGCCTCTTGTCCCTGAGTTTTCACGACAAAAGGTTCTCTGGCTGTCTCGATTGTGTGCTGGAGCTTCAGTACGGTTGGAAATCTCCCTTGTGTCTCCTGGCTGAACATCTGCCATGTGTGTTGTAGGAAGGGTTTCCTTCCACTCAATTCTGACCAACCCAAGACTGAGCCCCAAGCTTTTGGAGTCATCTTCTGTGCTCTTCTCACCACCAATGCAGAAGACCTCCAACCATTCCTGGAACTGGATGCGGAATGCCTAAACACGAACAACAACAGGCATGGAAATTGAAACACTTGCGTGAACTAAACACGCCATGTATTTGTTAGACTGGCAATGCCTCCCAGAGTTTCAGACAATTTGTCTTGATATTTTTGCATTTCCCTTTTCTAGTGCACCATCCATTATTATGCTAGTTGTCACCATATTTAAACTGGTCACATCCTTTTTGCTCTACCTCATGACCTAGATTTATTCATGTTAACTAGCTTGTTTTGCCTGGAATTAGCTTTGCCCTCGCTTTGGCAAATGGCGAAGCATGATTTGCATCGCATCAGTCCGTGATCACGAGCTGTGTTGAACTTGTTGGGAACAGACATCTCTGACAAAGCATGGTTTGTCCTGATCAGTTACTCTAGCCTTATGGAACACAGACTCTCAAGCATACTCATTTGCATTTAGAGGAACTATTTCACTTTTGGCCATCATCATCTTGCCTCAGTTTTGTTACTGAAGCAGTTATTAATCATTTTACTTAAGTGCTTTTTTAATGAGAAATTGGAAAAATAAATGTTTCTTCATCATATAATAAGCTGGGCTGTTGGGAGCTTGCATTATCAATATGCTGGCAGTCCATGGCACTGCAGAGCCTCATAAATGGGCTGATTACTAAATTTGTATGATTACCACAGTTATTCTAACATTTAATGTATATGCAGTGACATATCTTTCCATAAATGTCTTCATCTATTTCCCAGGCATCAATGGGCATCACATTTTGTTAAAAAGGGCACGTTGCAGCCAGTGCAAAAAATCCATGAAATAACTTTTCGCGAAAACCATGAATTATTGAAATTTAAATTCTAAACTTCACCTTTCACTTTTATAAACCAACGCCATTGCACGATCCAGAAACTTCTATTCCAGCCCTCTCTGTATGCACCATGTCGACAATAATATATCTATAATACAGGCTGCAAAGAGCAAATATTGAATGGCTGTACGGATGCATATTTCTGGGTTGTTTTCATTGTTGTCTAAGTGGGTTTCCACTTGGTTAAAGGAAAGAAGTGTTTGTTTATAGTGTATTGCAATACATTGTAAACAGAATTTCATAATTTATTCTAATCTTGGCTACATTGCAAAATGTATTTTTAAATCGCTTGGAATAATCTTCTGTGACTGCTAGTCAAAGCTCATTATTAATGTTGCACAAAACATTAAAAAAATAATTAAAGTAAGAGTTGCCACAATACTGAATCGCAGAAATGTCTTCCTGATTTTTCTTCTTTTTTCGGATTATCCTAAATTCGGGACTTTGTACAAAAATGTCAAATCTAAATAAAAATGGTTCTAATTGATCCTAAATATGACATCACAGGAGGTGACATTACGTCCAAGCTTTCCTGTCAAAACTGGATTCATGTCGCCCTGAGCCAGTGGTAGAAATTCCGCATTACTTCGGTGGGGCTCGTGAATCCATGGTAAAACCAATGTTGAATTCTCCACAAATTAGTCCCTATTTTATTACCTTCAGAGAGATGATGGGCTTAGTCACCCCCCCCCCAACCCAAGGATTTGAACTCGCAACCTTCCGATTGCGAGCCGCATGCTCTCCCATTAGGCTACATGGCTGGATTATACTCTTTGGTTCTTTCGGTAAAGTCACGTAGGTATAAAATAAAATAAATCACGACGTTTCGATCGCAACACAAGCAATCATTATCAATTGGGAAACCACAGCAATATTTTTTTTTGCTGAATTAGGAGAGAGATGCCGTGGTAAGAGGTTATATAGGTGAGAAAGGGGGGGGGGGCAAGGGGGGGAAGAGAGGGGGGGAACGGGGGAGGGGAACGCTGCGTGGAACGCTAGGAGAGGGACGTGAAGCTGGACGGGGGGAATTGGGCGGGGTTGGAAGTGGAAGGCCGAGAGAGCTGGGGATGCGGGGGGGGGGGTAACTCGGAGAGAGAGGGGAGGGGTGTGGGGTAGGGGCTCAAAGGATCAATCAGCTTCACGTCCCTCTCCGAGCGTTCAACGCAGCGCCCCCCCCCCCCCCTCTATCTCCCCCCCCCTTGCCCCCCCCCTTGCCCCTCCCCCCTTTATCACCTATATAACCTCTTACCACGGCATCTCTCTCCCAATTCAGCAAAACTATTTTTCGTGCTGTGGTTATTTTATACCTACATGACTTTACCGAAAGAACCAAAGAGTATAGTCACTAAAGTTTTACATCTAGATTGGCTGGATTATATTTATACTTTTACAAAACGTACATGAAATGCGAAAATCCGAAAATATATCTGATAGTGTTATCAATTTTTTTACTGTAAGAGAATAAGAAGAAAATTTACACAAATCTATCTCTTTAGCAGAACAGTTTCTATAGCAGGAAAATGTGCATCTGTAATGGTAAGTGTCAGAATATAGGAAGATTCCCAGCATCAAAGACACATGCGCAGGAATACACACGAAGGCTGTACGCAATTGTAGTTTAAAAACACAACTTACAATCAGCAGTAGTCTCAGTATAAGACTGGATAATTCATTCAAGTTTACAAGTGCAACTGCATAAAAAGCAGGGTTTGCATCGGTTTAAAATGTAAATAAATAGCAAGTAATTACACTGCCGTTGGGTTGCTTTGTCCTGGTATGTGCCCTTGTTGGCTTAATGTACAGCGCACCACATGACTGAATAATCGTTATGATAGGGTTGCATTGTATAGTTGTAATAGCTTTTCAGTTCAATGTATGAATGGAATATAAACAGCTGATGCATTTCGTCAACTGGCTCTTTTCAATGCAATGTCGCAAATAATTCCCACAACTGTGATTGCAACAATGGTGGGGATTCGACACTGGAACAAAAAATTTTAAACATTGAAAGTTTCATTTTTTTATCTGACTGGTCTGAATAAACCAAAACTCAAATTCAGTTGGCCTTCAAATGGAAGGCAGGGTTCACTTGTCAGGTCATAAGAAGGACTCAAATTTATCCGTGCCAGATCAGAAAGCAGAAGATAAAGCTCACCTGTATGAGGTCAACTTGTATATAGGCGAGTTGCATCGATGTCATTCGCATCACATGCGCCGTCAGTTTAGAAGGGCCTTGAGGATTTAGTGGAACGTAAGCTGCGCCAGCCTGCAAAATACTATTACAGCACAAACACATTCAAAATAATAACTGTAATGAGGAGTCCATGGGGCTGAGTGAGCTGGCATTGCCAAGATATCGAGTTTGAAACTGGGTAGCCACACATGACTAAACTGTGTACTTCAAGTATGTGTGATAGTTTTATCACGATCACCAATGACTGGATGATTCCAGCTCTGACAACTTAACAGTTTGATTTGATTGACATGCAACTGGTGCGCCCTTTGCACAGTATGTAACTGGTATGCCGTGAGTGTAGCTGAACAGCCTACAGAAGTCAACTCTCTTCCTGGGATATCCTCTAAGCCACGAAGGTGCAATATGAGAGCTACAACTGTCAACACCTCCACAACTTGTGATACGACGCCGATAGCACAATTGTCATATAATTGTCTAAAAGATAAAAAAAAACTTTGCAATGTTGAACAAGATTTATAAAGTTTTACTCGTATAAATCATTATTGTTTAGTGACATCGCTGGATGTCAACATGTTGCGTGCAGTGCCTGCCCTAAAGAGGCACGGCAAGTGGTGTAGTGACATCATGGATACCACAGGGGTGTGGGTGTAGTGCCGGCCATTGAGGGGCCCGGTGATCGCTGAATGATAGCGCTAGATGGCACCACGCTTTGCGTGCAGTGCCGACCCTACAGGACAGGGTATGTGGGTGCCGGCAGAAGGATGAGGTTACTCGAGGCCATGGCAATCTGGTTGACCCGGGATGACACGTGACCAGTTAAGTCTGCAAAGGGGCCCCAGGAGGGAGCTGGGGGTGGTCACGTGATTGGGATCCAGATCCTTCCCGAGGATTCTGGAAGGTGGACGTGGCCAAGGGCAGAGCCGGCCACGCCACAGAGAATATAAGCCGGGTCCCGAGAGGGATCGGGGTTGTTGTTCATCCTGGAAGAAACCTTCATCTACATCTCCGTTCAACGAGTCTCCAACACGTGGACCCGGGCCGAAGCTGTTGGTCCCGGTCCGTAGTAGCAGTTACGTTCTAACTAGTGTAGTTAGCCTGGTGGTCACCACCATAGGATGTTATTCTATTAAGGGGAAAGTTACCCCGTGTGTTGGAACTGAATAAATGTGTTGCCTCTAAGTCTACGTCTGCAACTCAGTTGAACCCATTACAATTGTATTGCCAAAATAAAGACATTCTTCGTGTTGCCAGGGCTAGAAATATTATTGAATGTCATTCGTTACTTTTGTGTCCATCATATCAACGTAGATATGTAAAAGGACAGCGATAGTAAGAGTATTCCATGTCCAACTTCACTCTAGTGAGGAGGTGTAATTAAATTAACTTCTAAAACTACAAAAAAAATCCTTTTATTTCACTGGGTAAGGCCCACTGAGCTATACAGCTCTTTTCAGAAGCGACCTGGCTATCACAAATGATCGCTAACAATGATTCTCGCAGGCGACTCACGACAGCAGTGAAAATTGCGGGAGTAGTGCATAACAAGGTGCATCGTGCAACAAAGGAACTTATTTTTAGTCACTTGCACATTACAATCTCATCAATTATCTCTGCTTTTGTGACTACAATGAAATACGTTAAGTCAGTGACTGGTAGTCATGCACGCAGATGCATTGGGAGCGTGTATGCTGATAATCACAAAGGAACATTGCTATTCCCGTCATCTAAATCATCCAGAAATACATTTTAGAGATTATATTTAGCAATTTCAACTTTTTAATATTGTAAATGCTTCGTCTTCGATAACACCATAAAAATTAATTAAACTTGCCCTTTATATTACTTCTGAATTTTTTCCCAAAAAGGTTATCTGCAATATATTGCCTCCCTTTGTTAGAAACCTCTATTTTCATGAGCTTTCATTTGTAAAATAGATGTGCTTCATTAACATGCTGTCAACTAGATAATATAAATAATAATTTAAAATGTACAAATGTAGCACAGGCTGATGAATAGATTATTTCACAGTTTGACATTTTAATGAAGAGGAAACTTATAGCTTGTAAAACAGATTTAAAATATTGAAAGCAGCGTGCTATGGTACAATTATAATAATTACTAACCTCGGAAGCATCAATCAGTACAGTATTACGACGTTTTGGAAAGAGGGTCCTGCATTGGGATGTTTAATAAATCCCTTCATGGTTATATCACATGCACAGTATAAGGAAACCAGGCTGGCTGCAAAAACACACATCAAAGATTGATCATGGCAGATGACATCACAGAACTATTTCTGAATTCCCTTCAATGGGCTTCTCTATCCACTCTACGAGTACACCTTTTACATTATCTGCAAATACTGTTTTCATACTCCTCAGTGGGAGTTTATGCAGATATAAGGGTGACCAAGCTGAAACCATCAATTCACTGTACTTGAGAACCCAGTTCAATCACAAGTGGCTGGCCAGATCAGATTCTAACTCAGGAAATCTGCAGTGCTGGCTCAGTGTTCTGACATGGAATTTGAGCTCAGTCACCCCTGAATGAATATTTGCTCGTTTGTCTTTACGATATGCGTGTGCATCTTAGAACACGTGGCTAGAGGAGGAGAAGCTTTGCTCACCCGAGGATACAAGCGGGAAGTTGAAGCACAGGATTCGTGAACAGTCCGACCACCGGGCTCGGATCTTCACGCAAGAGCTCGAGCAGCTTGGCACACACCTGCGCGGCCTGCCGGCACAGCTCGCCATACGTCACCTGCAGCGTAGCCTCCCCATCGTCGTAGCGCACCGCCACCGCTTTCGCGCGCCCCGATACTAGCGAGTGCAGCGTGGAGCCACAGCTGCCCAGGTTATCGTGGCCACGGTGTCCTTCATCACTGCACATTGCTGTGTACGATCGAAGCGCGTTTAACCTGTAATAAAATCAATACATTAATTATTTTAACAAAATTACATTTTATTAAACCAGGTAAGGCTCACTGAGCTATAGAGCTCTTTTTCAGAAGCGATCTGGCCACAAATGATAGCTCAACGAAGTGGCTTATCACGTGGGAATTTATAGCAGCCAAATACTCTAAACTCGCGTTTATAAATGTAGAGTGAAAAACCAGAGGACCTGGAGAAAAATCCACTCGACCACAGGGAGAACATGCAAACTCCAAATATACATGCGTCAGGGTCGGGATCAAACCCACGACCTCCTGTATACCTTGAGAGGTAGTTCACATTTTGCCACCGTAGCTCTCAAATGCGAGTGTTGCTCAGCGTTATGTCCAACGTTTGCTCCACATGCTGGGAGCTTTTCTGAAAACAACCAGTGCCACCAGAAAAAATATCGGACCACGATACAGCATAACCACAAAAACCTACACAGTAATTAACTCCTGTATTTCGTTTGGTGTCATGCAGTAGCCACTAGCAAGAGAAACCTGGGTTACTTTTACTGCATTCACAAATTTGTTCTTGATAACTGTTGAAGTTTACATATGGACGTAACTGCGGCATGCAATGAACTACAGTAATAACGTGAAATGTCAAGTGGCCTTCAATGTTAATACTGCAGCAGATGGCATTCCTTTGCATATGCCCCGGTGGGATTTGAACCATCGAACCCATACAAATTGGCTAAGTGACAAATGCGCCAACCACCCAGCTATCCAAACATTGAGATAGTGCCATTGAGCTACGTAACTCTCCCAGGGTAGCTAAACGATAGTTTTTTTAGTAATTAGTCATCCTTATTTAAGCATCTGTAATTATACGAAGCGCACATTTTTTTCTGAATACATTTGAATGTCATTTGGTAACAGGGGAAAGAGAAATGCCTGAACTGGATCACATATTGATGAGCCCTGGTACGGACTTGAACCCAGCCACTGGTGAGACTTTATTTGGTCAACAAGGCAGCTGTTTGTCAGTTTAAAGTTATTTAAACACAAAATAGAACTCAGTGATAATTAAGACATCTTATGGCGTTTGGTGTCCCACAAATAATAAATACCCAATGTCTGTAAGTGATGGTTGTACGTGGACAACAGTCAATCGTCTATAAACACATCTGGTGACAAATATTCCTGCCATCACTTCCACCTTTTGCTGCATACAGATATTTCCCATTAACTCCACTTTATGATATTCATTGATGGTTGCTGTATTTTGCATGTGGGAGGAAATCCGATTTTTTTCATCCACAAACAAGCCAGCAATCCATTACAAGCATGTTTTAAAAACAAAAACCTGCTGATGACGTTGTGATAAATCAGTCCCTCCAGAAAAACGCGGAGTTTTTTGGTGATTGTTGCGGGCAAAAATCGTTGATTATGCGGCACGTTTTCTTAAAAAATGCGATGGAATATGCGGGATATTTATGCAATTTTATGCGATTAAATTGCGGGAACTTGCAAAAATTGCGGTTTGATGAAAAAGAGAAAAAAAAGTGATTCCCCCAACACCCTATTCACTCGGCTACTACTTTAATGTAAAGAGTCATTTCTTATTACTTCCTATGATAAGCAAGCATACTACATCACAGAAAGTGCTGGGAATATTTAAGTTCTCATCTTGTTTTATTTCAGACCTTAACAAACAGATGGCTCAAACTTACAAAACATTGAGTCGAACAAGTTCTGTAGCTTTACAAAATGAATATGCTACAACTTCTGTAAAAATGAATAAATAAAATATTAAAAAATAAAATGTGTGCTTCCTGTTTTACAAAGGTAGCTATACAAAACAGACATCTTCTGTTAAAATAAGTGTTTCAGTGCACAGTAACGTAAGCAATACAGTAACAGTACAGTCTTACAGTAATGTAAATTTACATACTACTAACAAAAAAGTGCAATCTTACAACTGTAATGAGTGACGTCACTTCATAACGTTCCCATGGCAACAGGGGAAATGGCTGCGCTTGTGTGAAGTAAACGCAACATTTTTCAACTTTCTGCTAAGATATATGTGACTTTTTGCAACGAAAATGCGGGGATTATGAAATCATGCAAGCCCGCATATTTTGCGCGCGGAAATCTGCAATTTATGCGGCGAAAGTGCGGCGTATTTGAAAAAACGCGCCCCCCGCATAAATATGCGGACTTTGGCTGATTTTGCGTGGAAACTTGCGATCGCATAATCGCGTTTTTCTGGAGGGACTGATAAATCAAAACCAGCCCAGGGCTCGCGGCTTGAACAAATGCTGCTGCCATACTGGCCGCTCGTCCAAGGGCCCATGGGGGGAGATTGATGTTATTTTATATGGTTGGTGAAACACTTGCCTCCGCTTAAAAATATTAATTGTTAATAATTATTAATATCCATCCTTTTGTTAATGCGCTGCTTAACGAAGGCCTCCCACACCTTTCGGTCATCGGGTTTGTTTGACCATAATTTATTGATTTGTTTACATTTCCTATACTTTGCACTCCTGTCATGTTTTTGTATTGTTTGTTGTAACGTTTTTGCCCGCCCTTCCTGGGCATGTGATGGAATGTATAGCTCATAGGATTCCTCCAGTATAAATACATATTCTGATTCTGGGTGCCCCAGGTCTGGGTGAGTAGATCATCGCTCGCCACTGATGACAGACGTGGCCAGGAATCCGACTCGGGTTGCCCGGCTTCACAGCGCAAAGCGCCACCGCTCCATCACGTCGCAATGTACAATGTCAACGCGACTCCCGTGCAGTGCTGTACGTGTCCGTTATAAACACAATGCCACGTTGTTACGGAGTTTTGTCTCTGCACAGGAATAACCAGTGGACTTCACACAACACGTTGCCACTAATTGTATCGACCTCCTGAGTGGTGGGGGAGGCATTTATCCAGCAGTGGATAGGTTAAGGTAGATGAGTGCCGTAAAATACACCGAACAACCGTCTTACCTATGAGAAGACTCCGCTGTATTAATTGCAACATTCTAGCGCAACTAAAACGCGTGCGGTCACGCCGAATTGACGGGAACAGAGTGCGGAACACAGCAAAGGGCACGACGCGAGCCGTCCCTTACCAACATGGCCGACCAGCATGCGTGCGACGGAAGTGACGTTTAACATAAGGCCGGATGTGTGACGTCACCATGTTAAACTGCCCCCCCCCGGCACCCTGTAGCCCCACCCACTGTTTCTTTCCCCGCCTCATTTATCTAGCCCACGCCTCTTTTCACTTTAGACACGCCCCTAATCCCCTGTAGCCCCGCCCTCTCCCCGCATAGCCCCGCCTCCTCCCCACAGCCTGTCAAGCTGTCCACCCGCACGCGTCTCGCAGACCAATCAAGAGGTGTCTTGGCGGAGGGCGCGCGCTTCGTTAACCAATCATCAGGCGCGTAGGCGGTGGTGGGGGAGAGTCTCCTCCACCGCGTACAGTGGTGGTGGTAGCGTCGCGCCGCACACGCGCGGCGCCCGTCTCGCGCCTCCTGTTGCCTCGCCTCTCCTCTTTGCTGCCGCCTATCTCTCTGACTCTTGAGTGCGATTACTACGAGTTGGTCGCGGCCGCAACGGTACCCGGCACCCGCTGCCCGATTCGTGTCGCTGTCCTCTCGTCTCCCTCCTCCGCGGCGGCCGCCGCCGCGTTTCTGCCGCCACAGAGCGCGGGGGTATGGAGCACGCGTGGCCCCCGTGAGCGGTGAGAAGCACGGGGGAGATGCACGGGGGAAGGAAGCGGTGATTAGTCGTGGGGGGGCGATGGTGGTACACGGAGTTTCGCCAGCAGCTTGGAGGCACGGGGAGAGGTACCACTCGGGTAGATTGGTAGAAGCGCGAAGGGCACGAATGAAGGCACCGGGAGCACGTTGTTGAAAGCACGAGGGGCACACGGGGGTAAGAAAGTATAAAGCACGCGAACACGGGGGCAAGCACGGTAGGACATCATCATCCCTCGCCATGTAACAATCCATCCAGCTGCTGCTGCTGCACTCATCAGTCGATCGCGTCGCTCCATCTCCGCTGCAGCTGTCCTCTCTCGTCTGTTCTGCTTCCTTTGGCTGCTGCCACCTCCTCGTCAATGTCTTGACCACCGTGACGTGTTCTGTCTGAACCCGCTCACTTTTCCCTGACTGTGCCATGTGGTGTCGCTAACTCTGCGTGTGTTGGAGGGAGCGGTGGTGCAGCGGTTAGCGCGCTGCGCAAAAGGAACCCGGCGACCCGAGTTCGATTCCCGCTCACGGCCAACACCGGTGGATGACGATTATCTGAACCGGTCCTGGGCCTCCCCTACGTTGACTCGGCCTCGAATGAGTACCTGGTGCGGCGTGTAAAATTGTCGCCACTGGGGGAGACAAAGGCGGCCGGGCGTGGTGTTGGCCACCCACCCCCTCGTGTGCCGTGTCGACCTTCATTGGTGCTACTCCCTCACAGCGCTTGCCCCAACAATCTGTTAAGGCTACACGGGGGATCTTTGTCTCTCGCGATCTGTGCGCTCTTCTTCGTGTTGCTCAGTGCAATCCACAATCGTGCAAAATAGCTACATTTCACGCTTTCGCAGCGTTTTTGTCGCATTATTTCTAATGCTAATCCCTTGTTTCTCACCCGTTTGTCATAAGCAGGCCTTCTTTGTATGCGCATTGATGGTGAAACGCATGCTCGTGTTTTCGGCGCATTGCTGTGTTTGCTGTTCACTACCAAGGTCACTTTTCCAAAATATCGTCCTCGTCAGCCTCTTTAATTCATCATTTTAATCCAGGCACACCATCGATAATAGCTGCCATAGGTAAACGGGTAAGCACACGCTCGCTGTGTGGTCCACTCGTGTTTCCCCGACAGTATCTTCATTGGGTTTGTGATCCTTGTTCTACTTGACAACAAGGATTTATTTCGCTCCCTATTTATGTTGAGCCCAACTCTTGCAGGTCTCTTTATTACGTCGTAAAATCATGTTGCCGCTGGTTGTTACAATGACGTGTCATTTAGCAAATCACAGATGGTGAACGTTTGTCTATCTGGTTGGCCACATTCTTCCCAATACATTTTTTGGAAGACTCGTGTCACTGAATAAGTTGCGAAATGTGATCCTTACCTGGCTCCCCTTCGAAAATTGTGTTTTATTACGTGCTGTGAGGATGGGCCGTTGCCCGGAACGTTGCCTATTATGTATGTTTACTTTTAAGGTTACCGTGTTATTGTCGAACGTGTTTTTTTTGGCGTTTGTCACGCTCTTCATGCAATCGAGGTTTGTGAAACCTTGAATGGCCACATCTATGTCTACAGTCCCAATTGCCTTTTTACATAGTCAAACATTGCTACACATAATTGCGTTTGATATATTAGTATCTTTCAGAATCCCAGGAATGGTTGATCGATGGTAGAAAAACATTTCCGAAATCCAGCTTCCTCTCACGGTTTTCTGACCTCTAATTTGTAATTCTGGTCCCAGTGATTCACGTGACCAGTTGGTATACACGTGAAGAGAGCTACATCACAACCACATTGTCAGTCTACTGCAGGATGAAGGCCTCCCCACGCTATTTGCAGTCATAGTGGTTGTGTGACCATGCTTCAGCACGCTGGACAGTGCAGTTTGGTGACCGTGGGGCCCACCCACAACCCGTTCAGAGATAACTCGCCACTGACGTTGGCTGGATATTGATCTCTGGCCACAGGGGTTGACACTGCAGTGTGCGAACCACTGCACCACCGCTCCCTAAATAAGGCGGCGAATTGTAGTTCTTCAAGTTGGTTTAATCTCCCTTTTTTTAATCGATGAATGATTAAAGAATTTAATTTCCGTGCACACGTATAGTAAATAGATCCATCAATTTTGTTCCAACAACTGGCCCTGCTTCTGTGATGTGCACGGTTATACCATCTGATCCAGTAACTTTCTCTTTTTAATGCTATGAAGGGGAGTATTTGCTTTAAAAAGTGATATCTGGATTTTAATCTTCAAAACTCCTTGATGCCTGGAATATATGGGGCGTTTTCCCCTGCTAATTATAGTCCTCGGTTACCTGCAACTATGGTAGTGAGAAAAGTGCTATTATGGTGAGGCACAGAGGAGTGGAAAGCAATCTCTATCAAAACTAATTAAACTATTTTTTATTTTACCAGGCAAAGCTCACTCTTTTTTCAGAAGCGACCCGGCCACAAATGATAGCTCAACGAAGTGGCTTATCACGTGGAAATTTATAGCAGCCAAATACTCTAAATGCATGTTGCTTCTAAATGTGGAGGGAAAAACCAGAGAACACGGAGATAAATCCACTCGACCACGGCGATAACATGCAAACTCCAAGTATACAGGCGTCATGGTCAAGATCGAACCCACTGACTCCTGCATACTAGGCGAGATTTCGCCACCATGGCACCCTAAATTAAAGAAATGATGATCCTGTGTCGGCAGTTGTGCACAAGCACAATAAAAAAACTCAACACAATCTTCGATAGTACCTCTAATTAGCACAGTTGGCTATGTATGGTGTGAAGGAATTTTAACATACATACTTAAAATAAAAAAATAGGTCACGTTTCGGGAAATGTGAGAGATCGCTCTTCTCTGCTGCCCCCAGAGTCTGAAACTCTCCCCAGCCATCTGTACTGTTGACTGCCACTGATCAATACAATGCTCAATACCTTCCTCTTGTCATCTACTCAAGACTGTCTCTAATTAAATTACCGAATTACTATGCATCCTTTCCAGAGAACACCCATGTCCCACTGTTCTCTGCACTGTCTTGAGATGCAGTCGCATTTTTATTCTGCGAATATATAAATTATACTTGTTTGGGGGAGGGACATGAGGGAAGAATGACCGGGCTGCACGAAGGAATACAGGGCAAGCAACAAAGCACTGGGGAAGAAAAGCAGAGGTATGGGAGGAGGTGGACTGAGTGAAGAGCATGTATGTTGTATGTTAAACTTCTTTTGCACCGTATGCGGTCAACCCTGATAATCGGAGGGCACCGGGTAAGAAGAGGAGTGGAGCAGCAGAGTGGAAGCCCCTTGTGGACGAGCCCAGGGCTTTGCATGCTTTTGCTGTCATGTGGCACAGAGGCAGTTCATCACATGATAGGGTGAGGCAGCATCATAAGCACAGCATGGGACATTGGGAGCAAGGATTTTGAAGGGGGTCCGCATCTTTGCCCAGGAATTAGTGGAAGCAGCTTATATTTTGTAACGCGAGAAGAAGCGCGTAAGCCTTCTTGCTTGGATATAACTGGTAAGGTGAGGAAGCAACTGCATTGCTCTGGCATGTTAAGGAGGAAACGGTCATTGGTTTGTCGTTGCAAGTTACAGGGTCCATTGCGCTGGCCAGAGGGGAAATTGTTTTATTGGTCTGCAGATCTTGATCACCTTTGCATTCCCGCGGTGAAGGTTCCGTTCCATGGGGGACCGAGCTATTGCCTGCACGGCCCCTCTATTCTGGAACGCTTTGTTAAAACACATTGGGGATTCAGCTTCAATTGAGCTGTTTAAGTCTCGACTTAAAACATTCTTATTCAAGAAGGCTTTCACTTCATTTTATCTTCAGGCTCTTGCTCTTTTATTATTATTAGAACATTTGATAGGTTGTTACGCTTGTGTTTTTTATGCATATTGTGCACAGTGCTCTGTGATCCATGAACGAAGAGCGCTATATAAGTAGTATTATTAATGTATTTGGAACAGCTTCGTTGCTATGACTAGAAGGGGAGTAGATGCATTGCCCTAACGTGTGGAGAGGGAGTAGCGGCAAAGGAGGGAGCAGCTCTCCTCATTGCTCTAACATGGGAGGGAGCAGAGTTCATTGCTCTGGTATGGGAAGAAATGGGCTACATTTCCTTGGCACAGGCAGGAAGGAGGACTGCATGGGAAACGGCAGCTTCACGAGTGGTATGGACAGGTGCAGCATTGTAGGAGACAATGCAGGCAGATTTATTATGACATGTTGAGATACTCGCACTCCACCAGGGATGGAGCAGGCTGCTGCTTTAGTTTATGGAGGGAATGTACAGACAAAGTGGGAAGTGGTGGCACATCTCATTCAGGTAAGGGAGAGGAAGCAGCATGCAACATCCTTGTGCGTGACGGTGTAAGTTTGTTGCATACGGAACATACTGCATTAGCCTTGTACGGGAAGGCACAGCAGATGGAGCATGCTACATTCGCCCTGTTAGACGTCTGTGTGTATAGAATTGTAGTGGTTGTGCGCAGGCTTCATTATCCCAGTAGGAGATGTTCATGCAACAGCATGCTGGTATATGGAGTGTGGTACAGATAACACACCATTGTGCGGCCCTTATCTGTTGAAGCAAACAACGGTTGTCCTTCCCATGCACCTCCGATTAGCGCGGTTGGCTACATACTGTGCGAAAGAAGTTCAACATGAATACAATGGTGTGTGTGACATGAAGGAATTATGTTTACTGTCAGTAAATGTAGTCTGCCAAAATATGTTTTGTAGGCAGGTGTGAAGTGTTTATTCTGCTTGTGTACAGAAGTATATTTTTATATTCTGAAATACGCATATTTTTGGAACATACATGATGTTAAGTGATTTGCTACATTTATAAAAAAAAAATTTATAAGAAATGTTAATTCAGAATGATAATATTTGGATCTTTAAGCTACTTAGCATTAAAACAAAGTATATTTTAATCTTTAATATCTTCAGGTTATTGATGTTTATTTTCAAAAATCAGTTCTTGTTAA